AATAATAATAATAATAATAATAATAATAATAATAATAATAATAATAATAATAATAATGCATTTATTGCCCAACAGAAAACATTCCATTTACAGGACAAAATAAGTAGATAATTATAATATAAGCATACTACTGTACAATAAATAAAGAAAACAAATAAATAAACAAAATAAAAAAAATAAAATATATATACATATATACATATACATACATATATATACATATATACACATATATACACACATACACACATACATACACATACATATATATAAATAAACAGCAAAGAGGAAAACAGCAAAAGCTTTATCTAATATTGAAAATTATTGAAGTAATCCGAGGCAATTCTTAACAAATTTTTAAAATTACAATGAAATAAATCACACTGATCTGCTATTTGGTTATAATTATTAGCCATTAAATAAACAGGAGATTTTACAAGTACATTTGTTCTGGCATTTCGACAATAAAACAGTGAATCCTCACAAGAGCCAGGTCTCGGAACACGTATATTAAAAAGATAGATTAAGGCCATATATGGTCCAAATTTCATTTTTTTGGGGTCTATTTCTTTTATTTCGATAGTAATCAAGTTTAGATATACGGGTAGCTTTGATTTCTCTTAAACTACAAAAATCTCGAGAATACATACCTATTAGGTACATTAAATTCTTCAGTGATTTTATCTTTTATAAAATCAAAAATAGGTGCCGATAAAACGGTTGTTATAAGTATGTATAGGTACTAATAATTTATAGTTGAAGTTAAAAATATTAGAGTAGGTACTCTCCATGCGGCACCTACCAACCATAGAAATAAGTTAATTATCTTGTTTTGTCTTTTGGCGGCCGTCGGTATCTTATTTTCGAATCAAGTTTTACAAAAAAAATGGTACCGCCGTTACTTCTTCATAACTGTGTCGTTGTGAGTACTTCTAAGTGTACTGCTTTGATATAAATGTCACGCCTGTCAAAAATATTTACCCAAGCTGACGTCCTGGAGTGTTTAGATAATTGCCGGGGAAGATTACACAGAAAAAAAAACACCGCGTTTTATAAAAACATTTATTATCACTCCCTTAAAATTGCAAACGTTCTTTACAAATCTTAAAAATATAATTTACGGATAAATAACCTACGTTCCTAAGTGTATAAAACTATTAAAAACGTAACAAGTATTAAAATAGAGATGACTAATATGGTATTTTTTTAATCAAATCAATTGCAACGACAATTAAAGAGATAATGAATACCGTATAAATCACCGTTTGATAAAATACTAGAACCTAAGTATATAAATATGTACGCAGTAAGGGTACTTAAGATTCTAGAGAAATTCTAAGAAAATTTGAAAACATTGCTGTCTCTGTTCCCGTTCGCTGAAGTTGGCTTGGGTAACCGAGGGGAAACATCTCTGAAATAAAAAATGTAAGGTAGAAAAGGTTACCGAACTCAACCTACGACTAAAATAAATAAATTCGTTGAATGCGCCGTTATATTTCAAAACACCCTGTATATCTCAGCTAGTGTTAAAGCAAGTGTTAGGTGTAAGGATAATTGAAAATATTCAGGATTCTCTTGTTGTATACAGGATGAGAGGAAAAAACCCAAATGTTGTTATGCGATTTTCATTTGTTGTGTGTCGAAATTAATTTTTTAACATGTATTATCAACTGTTCTGTGTTTATTGTTTATTTTAATACTCTTTTAGTGTGACGTCACATATTTAGGCAACCCGTAACAAATTGTACAGACCGAATCTGACTCTTGTGTACTATTTACATAGATACTAAATGAACAACTTCAAATTTAAGAATAGTATTTAAGAACAACCAACAAGTGTTTGGTAAAATAGATACACTAACTTGAAAAATAATACAGGGATTATCGTTTTTTAAATATTGAAAACAATTTCAGTTTTGAAGCGAGTTAAAACAAATCGTAACGTTGACTAGGTATAGTAGTATCTATAAAATAAAATTTTATTTTTAATTGACATCCGTACTTGTATTTTAAATTTAACATGTTTCATCAATTAACCGTTTAAGGTATTTTTAGATTTATATTGTACTGTTGAGTATTTTTTTAACTACTTTATACACAATTTCAAGTGGAACATACCCAAAAGATAAATCATCTGTAATCAGTGTCGGTTCATATTGAGTCAATTTATGTTCGATGCAAGTTTACTGGATATCTTAGGAACGGTGAAAAATGTAGATATTTATTCTGTTCAGTAGCAAACACAAACGTTATAATTTCTGACAATATTGGTACGTATGACATATAAGATAAGCTTATAAAGACAATCAGATGGGTATGGAAACGCTCTCAGTAGTGAGACGAGGATGGCGAGTGCTTTTGTTAAAAAGAAAATGACAAAACACAAAAATTACAATTACAAAATCCGTACTAATGTATTATAATACCCTTATTCCGTTTCTGTTACTATGCTGACATAAATTTCACTAATCACGTTACCGTCATCTAGTAAGATATATTCAAAGTCCAGCTTACCCCTTAAGGTCCCCACACACGCTCCGTCTTACTTCGATACTTGCCTGCGCAGTTCTAAACCCAAAGCTACGCTTAAAGTGAAAGTAGGGTCACATGTTTAGTTATTTCATACTTTTGCTTAGTTATGTTAACAGGGAGTTTTGGAAAACGGTACCATGATTATAGGTGCTGATCAAACTTAAACGAATAAGACCACATGCCTTTCGTCATTTGTTTTTAAGATACATGGGCTTACTGTGCGGATACAAGAGGATACAAAAATTTAAATAAAATTAATTGTATTNAACAACTTCAAATTTAAGAATAGTATTTAAGAACAACCAACAAGTGTTTGGTAAAATAGATACACTAACTTGAAAAATAATACAGGGATTATCGTTTTTTAAATATTGAAAACAATTTCAGTTTTGAAGCGAGTTAAAACAAATCGTAACGTTGACTAGGTATAGTAGTATCTATAAAATAAAATTTTATTTTTAATTGACATCCGTACTTGTATTTTAAATTTAACATGTTTCATCAATTAACCGTTTAAGGTATTTTTAGATTTATATTGTACTGTTGAGTATTTTTTTAACTACTTTATACACAATTTCAAGTGGAACATACCCAAAAGATAAATCATCTGTAATCAGTGTCGGTTCATATTGAGTCAATTTATGTTCGATGCAAGTTTACTGGATATCTTAGGAACGGTGAAAAATGTAGATATTTATTCTGTTCAGTAGCAAACACAAACGTTATAATTTCTGACAATATTGGTACGTATGACATATAAGATAAGCTTATAAAGACAATCAGATGGGTATGGAAACGCTCTCAGTAGTGAGACGAGGATGGCGAGTGCTTTTGTTAAAAAGAAAATGACAAAACACAAAAATTACAATTACAAAATCCGTACTAATGTATTATAATACCCTTATTCCGTTTCTGTTACTATGCTGACATAAATTTCACTAATCACGTTACCGTCATCTAGTAAGATATATTCAAAGTCCAGCTTACCCCTTAAGGTCCCCACACACGCTCCGTCTTACTTCGATACTTGCCTGCGCAGTTCTAAACCCAAAGCTACGCTTAAAGTGAAAGTAGGGTCACATGTTTAGTTATTTCATACTTTTGCTTAGTTATGTTAACAGGGAGTTTTGGAAAACGGTACCATGATTATAGGTGCTGATCAAACTTAAACGAATAAGACCACATGCCTTTCGTCATTTGTTTTTAAGATACATGGGCTTACTGTGCGGATACAAGAGGATACAAAAATTTAAATAAAATTAATTGTATTAATTAATAAAGGCAAAAGCAGTTGAATTTGCCGATATAAAATAGGTGCGATAAAATTCTATTTACATATTTCTTTCCTTGCGAAAGTTTTTGTCCGTTTTTATCACACCGCCATGCCCGTCGCATTGCGCGAGGTCAGGTTTTACAGTGGACCAGTTTCCAGTGCCGTGCAGACGTGTATTTTTAAATCAATTTCGAACTGACCTTTTTGATTTTTTCTTTACAAAATCGTATTTGTAAGGGTCCCCTGTACATCCAGATTTTTTTTTTGGATAAGTTCTGAATCACCCTGTATATAGGAGTATATTGGAATAAAAAAGAATCATAAATCACCTTCACACGCCAGAAAAGTGTTCTGTCTATACGTTCGAGTTGAGATTTAGAACTGCGCGCGCGCAAGACCACATAGAGCGCCTGTAAGACCACCTTTACATACAAATAAAACAACGTTCAACTCACGTGCTCGACTGACTGTAAAGCTGTCTGGTTTTGTCCAGAAAACTCTCCACCCTGTTGGTGTTCTTGTTTTGTGAATTTGGGCTGGGACTGCGAAGATTTGTATTCGGGCTTGGCGAGTTCAGGTTCGAGAAGAGGCTGGCCATGCCGGGAGAGCCCAGGTTCGTGTAGCCGTGGTTCAGATAGGGCGCCGCTCCTGTCTCTGGCTGTACGGACGGCGACGGTTGCGCGGTTCTGTCAACTCGGTCTCTGGAGTCCCTGGAGTCCACGCTTAAGGCCTTGCCGATCTCTCCTTTTAGTTTGCTGGTCGGGTCCGAGCTTGAGTAGACTTTGGGCCGACTGAAATGACGGAATTGTTAAATCTAGGGTTCATTATCGTCGATGTTTCGTCCTCTACGTCCTCGACATCTCAGGATGTCGATATAAATTCAGAAACGTTGACTGTTTGTTCCCCAATTTCTTTAGTCGGTTGTTATTGTGCACAAATTCATTAAATTATGTGCAAATGCATTGTTATACTTACAGTAGAAATTATTTACTGCGCAAAAACGATTAAATTACTACGCATTTAATTACAAGCCTTTCAATATCAATTTGATGAATTCCGACGAAGCACTTTACTTTACATTTATATCATATTTTATAATAGCAACGACCTTATTTGCCATTAAAAATATTTTTAGTTTACCTTCTTATTTATACAGCGTGGTAAAAAAGTTCTGCATAAAATTCATATTTTCGTTAAACAATTTTTTTTTCGTAAAACGGTGAGACCCGTCGATTTTTATTTGATCCAGGGCACCTTGTTATGTGGAAAAATTTTTTTTTCGATAATCCACTTACGGCAGCGATGACATAATTTTTTTTTAAATGACAACGCATATTTTTTTCGTTCGAAATTGATGACAGTGATAATTATCTAAACAACGGTGTGAAAATTTCGATGTCTTACATAACAATTTTTTTTAGAAAAATGCACCTTAAGTTCTTATAAGTGATAATTGTCTACTTACACTATTAATGGCTCCGAAAAGGACAAAGTTGACAAAATTACATTTCAAACGAGTAAAATTACACTAATGTTTGTGTAAGTCTAGCGAAATTGTTCGAATTGCCCACCCTGTACCATTTGGCATTGTCCTAAGCGTGTGTAAACGCCGTCTACACTTCGTTCAAGCATTCCCGGGTCGATTTGATTTATTTCAAAACGAATACGGTTTTTAAGTTCTTCCAAATCACCTGGTCTGTTTGTGTACACACGCGATTTCAAATAGCCCCACAAAAAAAAGTCTAGAGGTGTTAAATCAGGCGAACGCGGAGGCCACTCGATTGTTCCGCGTCGCCCGATCCACCGGCCAGTAAACGTGTTATTCAAGTACTCCCGTACTTGCACTCCATAATGGGGCGGTGCACCATCCTGCTGAAACCAAATTCTTTCCTCAGGAATATCAGGATCCTCGTTGTTCGGGAATAACTCTGCTAAGCTTGGGACCAAATCGAACCGCAGGAAATCCAAATAGCGAGCAGCAGTTAAATTTTCCTCGAAAAAATACGGGCCTAAAATACGACGCCCTATTATTCCCGCCCAAACGTTCACCTTTCGGGGGTGCTGATGATCTACTTCTTGCACCCAGTGCGGGTTTTCCTGAGACCAATACCGGCAGTTATGTCGATGCACCGATCCATTAAGATAAAAAGTAGCCTCGTCAGAAAAAATTATGTTCTTGAGGAAGTCGGGGTCTCCGTTACATCGATGCATTAAATCTTCACAAAAGTGGAGACGGCGGTCTGGGTCGTCCTCAGTCAATGCATGTATCAAGTGACCCTTATAGGGGTGAAATTTCTCTTTTTTGAGAAAGTTCACCACAGTTACATGTGAAATATCATTGTTCAATGCAATCGACCTTGTACTAGAATGAGGGTTGTCCTGGAGCTCCACCAGGATATTCAATCTAGTTTCATCATCTACTCTAGGACGACCCGCACGAGGAGCATCTTTCACACTACCAGTTTCCTCAAACCTTGCCAGTACCCTACTAACCGTAGATTGCGTAATTGGTGGTCTGTCAGGGTACGTTGCATTAAATAATTGGCAAGCTTCTTGATGGGTTCGTAACTTATCGCCGAAACCAATCATCCTCAAAATATCAATTCTTTCGCGTTCACTAAGTTTTGCCATTTCGAATTAAACGATTTCACCAAAGAATGTTAAATCGGTACTGATTTTTAGTCTTCAATATTTCAGGTAATCTACTCCTTTCAAGTAAACATTTCTTTGGATCTTTTTTTTTTGGGGAATTTATCGGCAAACTCGAAGACAAAAAGTCGACCTTAATTTGCTACATACTATTTGGATTTTGTGCGGTTGAACTTGGTTCTAAATTTTGCAGTTTAATCAGGATCCTGACAATATCTGATGAATAATTCCGCAAATATTACATAACACCAGTTGCAACTTAAGTTATCTGAAATGCTTTCTGCCGAATAAATTTTTTTCTAAGGCATTTGATCCGTAAACAGCAAATTATTGCATTCAAGAACTTAAGGTGCATTTTTCTAAAAAAAATTGTTATGTAAGACATCGAAATTTTCACACCGTTGTTTAGATAATTATCACTGTCATCAATTTCGAACGAAAAAAATATGCGTTGCCATTTAAAAAAAAATTATGTCATCGCTGCCGCAAGTGGATTATCGAAAAAAAAATTTTTTCCACATAACAAGGTGCCCTGGATCAAATAAAAATCGACGGGTCTCACCGTTTTTCGAAAAAAAATTATTTAATGAAAATATGAATTTTATGCAGAACTTTTTTACTACGCTGTATATGACAAATATGCTTACTCTATGGTGAACCTCCTTTCTGCCTCCAAGGTCTTAACCCTTTCGTTGAATTCTTTCCTAAGTTTCCTCACCGAGAAGATGGCGTAGATCAGTGCAATTATTAGAACTATGATAACTGCAAGTCCAGACCAGCCGCATATCGCAACTTGGGTTTTGTATATTTCGAAATCATCCCTCTGAAACAAATAAAACTGGTCGATAAATTTCTTCCCAATAATTTTTTTCCTTCAAACATTTGCTAATGTTCTGTGAACCGTATCCTTATAACAACGCTGTTTTTTTTTTAGATAAATACCAATCCATCATATTTATCGCTAACAATTTCATATAAAATCAAGTTACCGTGAATAGCGACAATAATATTTAAAATAATCACGTTGCATATGATTAGAATAATGCATTGTTTGCATAGTTATCCTCAACTGTTTTTTGTAATTAGAAATATTAATTTTTTAAAATCCCAACTGTGAAAGGCGAAACATTTGCTTATTATTAGTTTTTGGGGGGTAAGAATATCAAGATTTAAAGTAAATATATTATGTACGCAGTAGAATTTTATTAGAAATGATTTCACATATAAAACGGCGAATATAATTGATTAGGTACAAGATACCAACATTTTTTAATAAGTATCTGATATCGGGCTATACTTCAACTCATCACTTTAACAATAAAATTGGAAAAAAACTCAAGCTGCACTTTTATTGTTGATTTTAAAATAATTCACATATTTTTAGAAACTATACCATTAATGAAATTAACAGAAGCATTATGCTATAGTTAAATCTTCAGTGTTTTGTCTATATGCCAGGACACTAACACATGCTGAAATTTTTTTAAATAGAAAAATTTTGCTGCCCTGTCCAGTTTTCTTCAGTATTTTCGTTAACATATGGTTTATATTACAAACATATCTCTCCATGTCCCTGTTTAACTGGACAGAACTAAAACTATACATATTATGTAACAAATTCTGCAGGCTGGTACATACCTACCACAATCATCTCGATCTTAAATAAACTTTGTATTTTTAGAAGTTGGTTTATTATCTTCTATATCTTCTCACAACAACTTGAATATTTCTATTTTTTATTCTTAAAGTGAGTCACAATACGCAATTAAATTTTAAGAAAACGTTGATTTATTGATATCTAGTATCTAGATTCATAAGCAGGAAAATGTATTTTTTTTATATTTTTGAAGCTCCACATTTACAACACTGACGGTTTTGGAACTGGTTTTTTTGCCGCACAATTTAAACAGATTTATAAAAAATATATAATAAATATTCTTACCAGTTTACTGTCAATTGCCATATTTTTTTCAAAAACAACTAGAATTTATCACAGACGGGTCGAACGTAATCAACATTACAGGAAAACTGATAATGTATAAATTATGGACAATACATATTTTAACTGAAACCTTCACGGTGTTCAATCTGTTAAGAGATTTATAATCTTATCTTGAAGAATAATTTGGTTTATCTTTGAGTAATTATTGGTGACAATAATTGAAAAATAAATCTGAAAACCCAAGTCACTAATATTTATATTTATCACATTGCCACTTAAAAATGACAATTTTCATTGAATTAATCTCGACAAAAACAATATTTACAGGATGATTAAAAAATATTGTTAAGAAGTTAATAGAATCCGTGGAGACAGATAATAATATTATAAATATCTATTTAAGATTATTTGAACATTAAATAAATATAAAAACAGTTTTAACTTATGATACGTATGTTTTAAAAAAGTGTAAATATATTCCTGTGGGACGTTTTTACCTTTTGTTAACGTAAAAATAGATATAATGAAAAATAAATTGGTTTAAACAATGTGTATAGCATTTATAAAAAATATTATTTTAAGGACATTTATTTGTGTAAAACAGGCAGATCTTAGATAAATAAAAAACAATTAACATTAATGTAGATTCAAATCTTTTGAGACTGACGTTTCAAAATGTCGTTAATTCTAAAAGTTTTGTTTTTTTATACAATATCATTATGTTCTATTTTATTAATTTTTATTAATTCAATGCTAGTTGGGTTATGTATCCGATAGAGTAGTTGTTTTCTGCAGTATCAACAGTTAGAAATTTTGTTTGTGGGGTTAATATCATTTGCATAAGTACCGAGATTTCTGGTACTCATGTTCAGAATTATTTCGGAACACATCATCAATCTTATGTCAACTGATAAAATTAATGGAACGTACTCCTTGTCTCCGCCCCCTTTACTGATCTTCTAATCTGACATCTGACAGATGTTTCAAAACTTAACCTATAATAATATATTTTAAAAATATGAACAAAAAGTTCTGGAAACAGAAATGTTTTTCAAATATTTTTATAGCTTGAATGTGTATATAACTTTCCTGATAGCAGTAGTAGCTATATTAGGCGATTATATAGTGGCTCATTTAAAGATACACATCTTTCAAGCAATTTTTGACAATGCAACACATGCAATAATTGGAGGTTTATCTTGGTTTTTAGTTTGTATTAACTACAAAACAGAACTCAGGTCTTCGTATGTGATTTTAGAAATTGGAATATGTTCATTTTTATCCTCCTTCATAGACGTAGACCACTTTATCGCTGCAAAGTCATTAAGTTTGACGGTAATAAGTTAAGCTAAAGTTTATGTTTGTATACCGATAAAATATTTTTTTAGAAAGCTACACATCTTAGTCGAAGGCCTTTGCTGCACTGTTCAACATTTCCTTTGTTAACATGTATTTTATTTTTATTGTTGAGCTACATTTTTCAATGGCCGGTGATAAAACGGTACACATTAATTGTTTTCACTGCTTTTGCTAGTCATCATACGAGGGATGCAACCAGGAGAGGTTATTGGTTGTATTGGTATGGATCGACGCCACCAATACCCTATGGTGTTTATGTGTTGATAACATGCATTATACCTTATTTTGTGTACTACACATGTAAATATACAGATGTAGATAGTGTTGGTTATAGGAAGTTGTCTGTGATATAAATTAAATGTTTATAGGTCTCATATATTGGTAATACATAATACATTAAAATAATAAAGTATAAAAAATTGAAATTATTAAAAACCGACTACAAGGACTAACACCTCACGATTATAAGCTTTCTTCAAATTTCATTATAAAAATAAAGTTTACCACCACTTAAATAATCTGGTATAATTAATTTTTTCTAAATATGCCTTATAGAACTTTTTGTATACCTCCAATTCAAATGTAATCCGATTTAACCCAATCTAAGATCTAAAAATCTCCTTAACAGTACAGTAATAGACTTAAATAATTAAAACAACTTTTATTTAAAAAATAAATCTTTCAGAACATAGCTAACTAAAATTACTCTGTATCAGAACTGGATTCGCTCGATGATGAACTCGTACTGTTGTCGCTACTACTAGAAGATTCACTTTCACTACTGCTACTACTACTACTGCTAGATGAATCGTCTGAGTCTGAGCTACTACTCTCTGCTTTCTTTTTTAACTGTGTTTTTGTTTTATTACTAACTGATGCTTGTGAACCAGTTTCTTCTAAGGTTTTCAGTCGCTTCTTCAATTGCTTAGTTCTTGAAGTCCTATGTAAATATTTTCTTTTTCCTTTGCATTCATAAGTCCAGTGTCCATATTCCAAACACTTCTGGCAACGAATTCCTTGTGGGGGATAAGATGGAGCTTTTCTAAAAATAAATATTGTATGTATGTAGGTATTTATATTTTCAAGCCTTGCTTACCTTTTCCCAAAATGTGACTTTGTTTGATCTCCTACAGTCATTGTTGATTATGAATTTCTTGCTAATGTGGTACTATTTACTTTACGACAAAATTTTATCGCACATTGACATCAATTCATAAATACAAAACTATGAACAAGTACAAAACATAAAGGATGAAGGAAGATAAATTAGTGTTTTGCTTTTTTACGTCGTTTTTAGCTTTCATTCTTCTTCTTCTTCAACGTTCTTTGGTGGTTCTTTGATCTGACTATGCTTAGTGTTGCCAACGTTGTACCAAACTATTTCTCACCAAGATGGTCTAAATTTTTCCTCTTCTGTGATCTGTCTCTCTCTCTCTCTCTCTCCGTCTCTCACTCCTGTCATTCACTGACAAGTGACAGCTGATGTAGAATGCAAACTTCGTTGTGAAATATCAAAATATACACATATATATATACAAATCATATGTATAATAAAATGTTTATTTATTTTCGTTTGGCGACATCCAGTTTCTGAACATTCCTCATTAACTCCGAAATACTTGTACATATACAAACTGATGTAAACAGGTAATTATTAAACAAAAATTATCTGAAATAATTATTAATTCTGATATAATTAATTGTTCGTATTTGTAGTTCACGTTTGACGTACTATCTAAAACGAACGATTCGTAATTAACATGACCAGGGTCTCAGAAATATCCTCTAGCAGTGTCCACGACCTATCAGATATTGATTACATAAAGAAATATGCCAAACAAATGTTAAGAAATTCACTATTTATTGGAACGTTTCAAGAGAAACGATTTGTGGAACCATTAAACTCGTATCGAGATGTCATTACTATTGCCAGAGATGAGGAAGATTTCATAAACAATCTCCTGGTGGTCAAAAGAAAGATCGACGAGGGATTCCTTAAGAAACCCTGGCTTGGTATTACTGATCCGGATACTGTTGGAGCACCAGTCGGTTATAACTTGTGGGTGGAGCTAAAGGAGGAGGTCTTCGGTAAATATTGGTACAAAGTAAAGACGGTAGAGTTCCATGAAAATGAAATACGCTTGAAATTAGACATAATTCGATCTGTAAAACAAGAACACTCTCCTTTAAGAACCAATACTAATGCTTCCAGTACACAGCAAAATACTGATGCTGTTGACTTTAGGGACTATTTCAACCAAATTTGTGAGGCATTAAAGTTTAATTTGATGAATTTCTGCTCATCTGTGCTAACTTTTAACAACATCAAACAATCTGTGATATTTTTATCTCTTCTAATAGGAGCTATTATTACGGGAGGTGTCGGTTTGATCCAGTATCTCTTAGAATATTTGTTGAAATTGCTAAGAGAAATTTCTTTCTTGATTAAAGCTGTTACTCCTATCGTCACAACTTGCGTAAACTTAGTAGGGAAATCTATATTTGGGTTCTACTCTATGATTGTAGCTTTGTATAGATGCAAACCAGCTCCGCCGGCTGTATATGCCTCTTACGTTCAGTATGATCCTAGAACGAGGTACTATGAACCAGCCATGCCCAACTATCGTAAAGAAATACTATATCACCCCGATACAAGGTCCAGATCGGGGGTAACAATCACCCCATTAAATTAAAGATATAAACAGGAACTTAGGAGTTTTATTGTGTAAACATGTTGTTTTTAAATTGTTTATGGTGAAGTAGCAGTGTTACCAGTATTTGTTTTATATTTCTCTAAAACTTTTTGATTCTTGTCAATAGTGTGTAACAAAAGTTTTATTTAATGCGTATGATATTCGCAATCATAATAAATCCACAACAAATTGGTATAACTTTCTCAAAATTTAAAATAAGGATTTTTGTGATTTTTTTTGCTTATAAATTTTTGTTTAATTGTATGCACAATTCTTTTTATCCGAAAACTAATAATAGTGATTGCTACCTTTCTTGGCTTTTGCAACTACAATTTTTTTCTTCAATTATTGACATTAATTCAGAAAAAAATCAAGTGTTTAAAAATTGAAGTAATAAAATAGTAATTAATATTTGTATATAAAATTAGAAATTGTTGATTTCTGAAAAATGTTGCTTGTAAAATTTTAAAAAAATTGCCGTGAAATCATAACATTTAGGATTTCTATCTTTGAGGAAGCTGTACATTGTAAATGGTATTACTTTTCCTAAAATTGAAAAATGATTCAATTAGGTAGCTGAAAGGTTTCTCTTTAAGTATCATTCTTCCTATAATTTAATTTTGTGATTTCTAGACAGAGTATATGTTTAGAAAATTGTAGATTATAATACCCGTATCCTTAGAAATTAACTTACTTTATTTACCGGATATTTCAACAAAAACCGTTACTTGATACATTTATTTTATACACTTTTGTAAAAAGTGTTTCTATTAATAGTCCTACACAAAATATATACACCTTATTTACGAAAAAGAACACCTAAGTTAATAATCCTCGTGTTAATTATATCAGCGGCAGATGGTGAAAATCAATGTGGTCATATTTTGATAATAAAGCGTGAGATCTGCATAGTTTCATTAGGGAATGATTTCTAGGTCTACGTAAACAAATTTTTAACGGAATTTCGAAATAAAAAATTTAAATTGGTTGGTTGCACATATATTTGCAAAATATGTATCTTTTTTATAATCAACTGAAAAATGCAAGCATTTTCTTGTTCTTCATAAAATTTCTATTTTTCACATTGTGTATTTTGAAAAATGGAATGTTAGTATCAAATTATAATTTAAATATAACAAAAAAAAAAAATTGTAAAAATGAGAAGTCGGTTTATTATGAAAAAAAATATTTAGCTCATATATATCAGGATCGGCAACACATTTTCATTTTCTTGCTTCACTATCTAAGTACGATCACTTAAATTTTTACAAGCTGCCACTGATTGCTGAATGGATTTTTGGAAACTGCGATCTAAAATCAGATCGATAATACCGACAGGTATTTTTGGATTATAAGGAAACGGCAATATCTTTATAAAAATTTATCATAATAGAATTTTATTAACTCTTTTTTGAACACCTTTGGTTTTCTTTTCGAAGATTGATAAGATTAACACGATCTCAATTTCCATAAAGTCTCCATGTTAATGGTTGTTTATACACGCATACATTATTTATAGTATTAGCTATATTAGTTCATTATGTATTGACAAATACATAAAATGCAACTTTTGTTTTTCTTTCGTAAATGCTGCTTGTCACATTCTATACCATTTTCTTCTAATCGTGTTTTCTAAGCAGCTTAATTTTATTTCTCCTTGTGATGCCAAAAGAATTTCCTTGTAAAAAATTGTATAATTTTTTATCTTCATCCGTACAGCTGCTACATATATTTAATTATACTTATGTAATTTACTTACGTAACAGTGAAATAATTTTTTTCACTAATATGTCGATAACTTATTCAAAATCTTCAACACATATGTTGATGTTATTTTGCTTTGTTTACTGCGAGCTTTGGTTGAATATAATTCATTATATGTAAATCGCTGGTCTGGGATATTTTAATTATTCTGTATTCATTAACGTTTGTTTTTCTGGCTTTGTACAGTTTAAATTTTTAAATATTTCCTTCATTTTAATTAGCAGAATTTATGGTATAATCTGATTTCTGTCCTGTATGTAGATATTGCCAAAAAAAGTAATTATGTAAATATATTTTAAGTGTAATCTTGAGAGAAATAGATGAATTTTTACTGAATATTGTTTTATTTGATATACTGGGTGTCCAGTTTTAAAAATGTGCATATTTGTTTAATTTTGAAATAGCAAATTCAACACTTATTGCGTACTTACTTGATAATGGCCTATAAATACACCCTGTATATTTCCACCAAGCAAATTCAACGGATAAACCTTGCACATTCAAAATTTGATATTAGTGTTGTGCGTTATATTTTTAAATTAAATTTGAAACGCGTTATTAGGACAGCTTTTAGAAAGATAATGTATGTTTTATACGGGATGTTTATCTTCTACACTTGAGGTTTCATGATAATATAAATATTTACAATGACTCCAGTGATATAATCGATGATAAGACAATGAGAATATGAATTGTGGATTTTGCTACCTCATCTGAAATTGTATTAAATAAAGAGACCTAAATACACCCTTTATCTTTATTTATAATTTCTAAAACCAAAATCTACAAACATTATCAGAACATAAATTAACAAAATGAAAAATAAAAAACAACGAACTGGAATGTAGCTTTCAACGAACCATTCAGGCTTTTGTAATGCCAATAACTCCACAAGCCAACCTGGCCCCTGCGTTACCAGTCGACTTGCTCAACTCATGACCACCCTTGCCCAAATCATCGGGATCGCCATGAACTACCACCGTACGACCGATGATGCTATGCTCCCCTTCCAGAGAAATAAGCTTGTCTGAAATCTTGATCTTAGCAACACCGTTGCTCCCAGCCTCTACGTTCCCCAAGTCGCCAATGTGACGGTTGGAGTCCTCCGGAGCCCCGTGCTCCTTGTTGTAGGGGTTGAAATGGGCTCCGGCTGAGATGCACCCGTTGGTGTTGTCGCCAAATTCGTGGACGTGAAAACCGTGTAACCCTTGACCCAATCCCGATATCTCGCCCGTAACTTCGACTGGTGAATTTGCGTCCTAATAAGAAATATTTTAGAGTAGGATCGATCGCAGGAAATTTAAAACGACTTACCGCTTGGTTAAAGAAAACGGTTCCTTTCACTACTTCACCGTTTAAAACGCAAACCGCTTTCGTAGGCATCTTGCTGGAATTTATTCTAGAAGACCGGCCGCTATGACTTAGCAGGAATCGAAATCGTTGCAACAAATTATTTGTCAAGGGCAAACGAGAAAATTTATTTAGCCGCAGCCGCAAAGGACAGGAGGGGTGAGAGGCGTTAGTTGCACACGGAACTACAGGGATGTAAGGGAAGGGATATCGACGCCTAGAAAAGAAAACGATAAAGGTTTTCTTTCAAAGCAATATCATTTTTCCATATATTTAGTTAAGTTTAAAAAAATGTTCATAGGAAATTACATACCAGAAAATAAATCAGAAATATTTTGTTATTACAACGAAAAGTAATTAAAAAATAAGGGTAATCGTATCGTTTCTATAAGATCTGTAATTTTTATAAATCGTGAAAACAATTCTACCAACTGTTAAAACCAATAAAATTAGATCAGATTACATTTGGTAAAGTCGCATTCGATTCGTTATTCTTTGTTACAGTCATGTTATTAAATCTTTTTATAGAAATATTTCCCCTTGAAGATCCCATTTAAGAAATATGGTAATGTTTTGTAAACTTCCTGTATCTCAAAAAGGAAGCGTTTCCGGACATATATTAATAACTATCAAAATATAGTGACTTGACTTGTGACGTAGAGCCGCCATTAATTTGGTCAAGCATTAATTTAGTTTTAGTTGCACCTTGTATATCGAAATTTAAAATTGCGACATTTGATGACCATGTATAAGAATTATTCTTAAATTTGAACAAGGAAAACTGTTCTCTGCCTACGCTGTTTGAAAAGTTCTTGTGATAATTACACTCTTATTATTTATTTATTTTCTTTTAAAGGGTTGAAAACGTGCAATATGATTTGAAAATTAAGGTTCACAAATATTTATGTTCCAATTTCCAATACGACGCATGACGGAAGGACCTATTCCAAAACAGTATATCCGAAATAGAAACCACAACAAGAACAAACCATTCTAGACTAGACTAAACTTGTCAAAACTTTTGAGTTTTACAGTTTTGGCTAACCTAACTTTCCACTTTCCACCTTTGTAGTTCTGAAAGTATCTACGTCCCTCACCTGTGCTTTTCGCTAAATGTAAACAGAAATAAGACGTGTTGAAATGACGGATCAAATAATTTCGGAATTAGAAAATGCTGCGGGGGTCATAATGGTGCGCTTAACTAGAGATTGTTTGAAAATAATTTTCAATGCATTTATTTTTAGGCACCCCCAAACGTTGTCACAAATGAACAAAGGCATGCAGCTGAAAGCATTTTCTTAGATTTTAGGAAGAGCAAATCACCTTATTCAATATGCAGGGAGATTCTTGAAAAATCCCAAAACCATTTTGTCATGTTCGAAGCTGCGGAAATATTAAAAGTAGCCGTTATTAGGGAATGGTCTTTTCTCTTGGAATCCGATAAAGTTTCACTTAGACAGTATCTATTTCAATATATCACTACTAGAGAAGTTCCCCCTTTTGTTAAAGATCGTATATTACAAGTGTTAGCAATCATGGTCAAAAGAGCAAGTATAGATGACGGCGGAAAAGAACGAGCAAATATTTTACGTGAAGTTGAAAATCTTATTGTAAACGCTGAATCAGACAAGGTACATAATTTATTATTCCATATTCTAAAAAACAGTTCATATCTTTAAAATAATTTTCTTCTATGCAGAAAATTTTGGGCTGTAATATCATTACGAATTTGATGCAAGAGTATGCATCGACTGTTAAATCGACAGACGTGGGCCTACCTTGGGAGGTCCACTTTAAGGCCAAAAAACAATTTGAAACCACAGATTTGAAAAGAATATTTCAGTTTTGTATATATTTATTATCGGAAGCCGTTAAAACTGATCCTCCATATTCTGAGTCAATGATGCTACTCATGGGACATTTGTTAAGGATTACGGAACGAATCTTAACATGGGGTTATGTTTCTCCAATCCATATCCTTTTGTATGCAATTGGGTTATTTTGTTTCTCTAGAGAAACAATAAATGTTTAATTCATTTTGATATTATTACCGCTCCGATCTTATAAATAATTTTTTTTTTGTTTGCAATATGTTGCAATGTTAACAATTAATCTGTAATTTATTTAAAAAAAATGCATCTTTCAGATTTTTATATTCTAAGTATATACTTCACAACTAATACATTTTTCCTTAACATTTCACACTTCCCAAAAGGTTAATCGGCATCTACGAATCAGTTTACGAATCTGACGCGGCCCCAGCTCTAAAACTAACATCGTCATGGTCTGAAATCATATTCAATCCTGGGCTTTTACCGATGATGTTCCAAATGTATTGGAAAGTGAGAGATTTAGAGCAACTGGCTCATCCTTCTTTGACTTGTTTGGTGCAGCTGGCATCTTTGAGTGGCGGAATAGTGTCCTCGGATGAAACCAGGCATAAGTACCTTCATTCTTACATAATGACTCTCCTGAACCTTATATCAAAGTAAGACGTTTTTTTTTTGTAATTATTGATTTGTGTGAGATTTGTGGCATTGTTTAAATTTCTAGTGTGACTATAAAGAGCAAGGAATCTCTTGGTATTTCAAATATAGTGAAAAAATTGGTAATATTTTACATACACGACATACCGAAACTTCCGGACGGTGTCGTCGATACGTTGTTGGATGAGTTTACACGGTTGACGTGTCACTTTTGTGACGGGGCTGCTATAGAGGAAATGGTAAGTAATCGATGTGTGCAATATAATCTTCGTATCTTTTCCGTCCAAATCCTAACCTAACTTAACCTAACTTTGATCTGTCAAATTGGGATTTGAAGTTGTTTTACAGCGATCGGATAACGTTTTCCGGAAAACTACAAAATTAAAAATTACATGTCATATCACTGAAACAAGTGATTCTTAAAACGTCTTTTAATTGCACATTTGTTTGGAAAGTAGTGTTTGATCGCCATAGATCAATATTAGATTTATTTTCAGACAAAAATTCCACTTAAACTCGCCCAATTTCAGAGGTCATTCACCTGAGATTCGCAAACTAAACACAGTGCTTTAGGCAGTAACAAATACTGTTTACTAAAACTTGAAAATATCTTAAATCTATTAGATTAGGAAATAATTGTATTTATACTTCGTGTAGCCATTCAGAATTGTTTTCTATGGCAGTTTCAGGCTTTGCCACTCACATTTAAACGAACTTTTTTTTGTTATAGTTCGATCAACCGTTTTATGTACACCCTGTACAATTACCAAATTTCCTCCCTTCATTGTTCATTAACAACTCCTTTCAAAAATGTTTTATCAGAGAAATCACATTAAAATCATTTCTATCTTTCGTTATTTAGTCCGACGAAGACACCTATTTCAGTGACGCCTTCGACAATATGCTAGAAGCCTGGTCTACGCTCGTCCAGGAATTTGGCTCTCTAGAAAACAACTTGGTCGAGTGTTCCAAACGGATCTTCAATAAGTACGTTCAGTGTCACATAGCTCCCCCGGACGGCTGCAGACAAAGCAACAACGGCGACGTTGAGGATATAGAGGACAACGAGGATAAAGACAGAATCCATTACAAAGACCAACTGCAAACTATAGGGATGTTCGGAAGGGTAGTACCTGGCCACACCTTGCCGCTGCTGTTCAAGTAAGTTCGCTTGTTTACACGGAATTTGGGAAAACCGGGAAATTCCGTTTCCTGTTTTGTACGCTGGCCTTTTTTTAGGTTATTGGAGGCGAGAATAGAAAAACTGGTAGCGCAACTGGAGTCCATGCACAACCGTGCGATGAACATATCGGAAGCGGCGGCCTTAGACAACCTCTTCGAGGACATCCACTGGATTCTGCTAATATCTGGCCACGTTCTGTGCATGGACAGCGACGGCGAAACGCCGATGATCCCCTCCGAAATAATGCAGTATTCGATCGATCAGAACAAACGCAACGAGACCACCCTCGAAGCCACCATGAAAGCCTTGATAGCGGTGGAATCGAAGGTGCACATCCCGGAGAACTTCGAACAGTGTGATCACGTGATCAGGATTGTTTTTAACGTATTGAAAATGTGTATCGTGGAAGACTTCGCGGTTTCTATCGCCGTTTCTCACTTTTTGAGTCCCGAGGTTGGTTCGACGCTGATGTGGTTCTTGAAGAGGTGGTGCTTGTCCTATCTGTTGCCCGTTGAAAATTATTATCAGGAGGTTAGTATCGATTGTAACGAATATTGGTTTTTCTTTGGTTTTCGCACGAATTTTACAAAAATAATCTCATTTCAGTTAAGTCCGACGCTCATCGGCTGTCTCGGCAAAGACACAGACTGTGCGAAACTGGTGGTAAGATATGTTATAGCAAAGATACAGTCCAATCTGTATTATTTCCAATCAGAACCTGTTCTTTTAAGGGACACCGTCGATTTGTTCTGTGATATAGTCTGCGTTAAACAGAAGTAAGTAATTTTCTATTTGGATTTTATTTCCTCGATAAAAATGAATTTTTTTTAATTTTAAACTAATTAAATGCGAATAGAAACAGAAATAAGAAATTTTACGAGGGTTGATTAAAAAGTACCCGTGTTTAAAGACAGGTGGCGTCACTGTCGAAGCAGTGGTTGGACCTTTTTGAACGAACTTCACAGAAAGTTTCGCTTCGAATCGTCACCGTTGATGAAACCTGGATACATTATTATACGCCAGAGATCAAACGACAATCTGCTCCGAACAAGGCAAAGACGGTACCATCGGCCAAAAAGGTCATAGCCATGATATTTTGGGATTCGAAGGGAATAATCCTCATGGACTTTTTGCAGAAAGGAAGAACGATCATGGGGCAGTGCTGCAGTGAATTTTGAAGGAGACATTGCTAAGAAAAAAGTGTCATTTCACCACGTTAATGCATCAGCACTTTTATCTTGAACTGTCGTGGCCAACTTGCATGAACTATGCTACTAATTGCTGCGATACCCACCGTACTCACCAGATCTGGCTCCCTGTGACTTTTTTCTGTTTCTCAACGTGAAAACATGGCTCGAGGTTAAAAATTGAGTTCAAACAAGGAAGTTATCGACGAGACAGAAACGTATTTTGAAGAGTTTGACATATTGTATTTCTCGGGTCCAAGAAATATCAGAAACGGGAAAAGTGTATCAACCTAAAAGTAGATTAAAAAAAAACTGAAAAAATTGTATCTTCATTGCAAACATGGGTACTTATTGATCGACCGTCGTAATTGTAGATTTTTTTTTTTTTATTAAAATGGTGTCCAGTAAAGTATGTGATTATCCAAAATTTTATGCTTATAGTTTCCGGACACCCTGTATATTTAAAATTTCGATGAAATTTTCAATTTTGCCGATATAACGACGACAAAAACTAACCATCTGTAAAAACATCGTTCTTTTACGATTAATTATTTTTAGATCGACGCACATCATAAAAACGGAGAGCATGAGAAACCTCATCCGTCTACACGAGGAAATGCAACCGGGCACCTTACCGCTCAACATCCTCCGGGGCCTGTTCAAAGGCTTCGTCCTAGCCGGGGTGGCCCTGCAGAACCCCCAGGACATGAACAGTTACTACGAAATGATCTTGACGCCATTACAGCAACGTTTCAAGGGCCTGCTCGGCCAGGAGAACTTCACCAGGATCTGCCACGAGGAGAAAATCCAAAAAATCGTCATCGACTTACTCGAGTGCTTCATAGGGATCGCGAAGGGCTCCCAAATGGCGAGCGTGGAGATCCTATTCCACTTCCTCGCCCCCATGCTGAGCGAACTTCCCGTGTTTCTGACCGTTTACAACAACTACCAAATCGTCGTACAGCTGATCCTGGAATTGTTCGGGCAATGCGCCAAGTACATGTTGTGCTATCTGTCGCCCATGGACAGCAAGAGGTTGTACGAGAGTTCCCTGGCCACCGTCCAAGCGTACGCCAAGTGTAACGCCGGACGGTTGTCTACGGAAGCGCTATCCGAAGACAGCAGCTTCCAGGACTTGGCCTTGGTGCTCGACCTCCTCACTTTTATATTATCTAAAGATTGCATAGATTTGTGCGCCAACACTAACAACGAGGAGATAAACGTGACGGCGTCCGACGTTTCCCTGTTCGGGTTGAATTTCATAATGCCGCTCATGACGTTGGACTTGCTGAAGTACCCCAGCTTATGCGCCCAGTATTACAGGCTTCTGGTTCTGATAAACGACATCTACCCGGAGAAAATCTGCAACCTCCCGCCCGGTTTGCTGAGAACCCTCCTGCAGTCCATAGAGTTAGGTCTAACGAATTTCGGGTCGGACATCGTTCAAGCTTGCTTGGACTTCATACAAGGCATGTCGACTTACGTATTTAGGCACAAGCTGTTGAACGCACCGATCGCTGAGGGCCTGAGGCCTTTCTTGAAGATGCTCATGGACCTAACGCTGTCCAATCAGATAAATTCGGACTCGATCAGTACGGCGAGTACCTGCATTTACTCGTTGATGTGCTGCTACCAGGAGGATTACCAGATCCTGGTGCAGAGTTTGATACATATGCAGGGCGATCCCATGATTGCCGAGAGGTTAGCGGCGGCTTTTACTAATTTAACATCGCTCGTTGCGATGACGTGTGAACGGCAGCCTAAACTGCGGTTCAGGGATAATTTCGAGAAGTTCATAGCGAACGTCCACGGGTTCCTGCTGGTGAAGTAGATTTGTTGCTTTTCTCTGAGAGTTGTGATTTTTGGGACGTGAGTATTTAATGGAAGGAGTAAGTCGTGCAACAGATGATATTATAATTTTTTTATCGGATGAAAGTTTGATTTTGCCGTACCGTCGTATCAGGAGATGGTACGGGCGTTCTTTATCATATTATGTTTTTAAGTGTTGATATATGCAATTTTATGTGTGTTTTACTCCCTTTGTATTTTTCTACAGATTATAAACATTTATTTATAAATTATACTAGATATATTTAATTAATTCTTCAATTCTGTGTATTTGAGGTGCGTTCGACGTATTTCACCCGTCAAAACATGTAATTCTTTGTGCGGTATAACAAAGTTATAAGTATCAGTAAAAATTTCTTAATTACTTTATAAAAAAATTGAGACTTGTTGGTAGCACTGAACATGTCATTTTTTAAGATCGGAGGCTGTGATTTTGCGACAAATTTTCCTATTTTCGAAGCAGCGACTCATTGAATTTTGTTTATTTTTTTGTAATTACGTATTTTGGTGGGTGCAGTACGAACCGTCTGGGGTCACGTATCGTGTAAAATATTCGCTATATTGTACCGCAGTTTTAAAATGCCTGATCATCACTTGTCTAAAATATTGATATAAAAGTATTTTTTATATTGATCAACCATTTTATTGTAAAAGTATTTATTACGAAATAAAGTGTAAGAGTATTTTTTCTTTTTTTTTGCGCTAACTTTACACTCTATTCCAGACTTGTTGTTTAGGTAAAAGAAAACACGTCGCTTCTAAATATTTTTATTTAGTTGACAAAGAGTATCACAGTCAAATACAAATTAACAAATTCTCATACAAAAACGGGGCCTTATACCAGTGCACGACTGCCTAAATGAAGGAAAGGAACTCGGGGTTTCAATCTACGTTTTTGACACATTTTTATACCCACGCCATGGCTCTGCAGAAAGCTATATCATAATTGTCGTCCCGTATTTCCACAGGTAGTTTGCGTTGTAAGAAAAACGGTGCAAGGATAAAAGTTATAGGAAACTGTTTAGATTCCCTAATGCCTAAGTCAATTGAACATCGGTTTTTTTTTGAGTGGAACACTATGGACAGTGCTTTCACAAATGTTTGAGTCCCACGTCACTAGATTTGTTTTGACGCTCGGTAAATTTGATTTTCTTAAGTTGGTAGTACAGAAATAACCAAGGAAAAATCACCAACTAGGACCCTAGATTTAATATCAATCCAGATGTTCATAATTTTTCATGTTTTTAAAACAGTTTGTACAATTTAGCAGTGTTTACCAGTATATTTGTGCTTTTCTACGAATTAATCTTTGTCGAGTTGGAAAAAAAAACTTTTTAGAACTCGGAAAATTCGTGACGCTTTTTTCGTGAATTAAACGAATATTTTAAAGTTGTTTCATTTATTACTTTCTTATTTCTTGTAGTTTTGTGTAAAAATGCCGTTTACACTGGAAAAAGACGCATTTACTTTGAGGGCATATTTTCGTAGAGGTACATGGAACGCGGACGAAAGACTATTTTCATTATCTCTTAATGAAAGTGGATTACAAAGGAGCCTATATTTTTTAAAGGTCAATCTTTGATCAAAAAATACTTCTATATACGTTAATGCAAAAAATTAAGGGGTCAACAGAATTTCCGAAATTTTTTCGTGATTTTTGTCAGACTGTATTTAGGTGAAAAATGGTCGTATCGGGAATTAAAAAAAAGCATTTTAAAGCTCTAAGATTCTCGTTTTTAGATCTTTCGGTCGAAATTTTTTAGCAATTCTAAGAATTAGCGCGACAAAACATTTTGGAAATTTTCTTTTATTTTTCAAAGTCCACGGACTTGGAAAAAATTTTTTCAGCTAAGCCATTGCATGGACCAGATAGCTTGTTTATTCAGCTTCAATTTCCTTTTATTTTAATTTTTGATACGACCATTTTTCATCGAAATATCGGGTTTTTAATGGAAAAGGATCCTTTTGACTTCAATCATCGATATCTCGGTGACAAATAGTTATACAGAGAATTGGACAAAAAAATTTTTTTTTTAAGTTTTCTCTAAGTTTTATCGCAAATAACATTTAAATTGAAAAAATGTAAAATCGAAAAATTTTCGAAATTTTTCAAAGTATTGTTTTTTTGGAAAACCTCCCCGACATTTCAGCCTATGCTTCTGTTCATCTACTTTTCATTAAATTAAAATAATTAAAGTTGATGATCCAAACCAGATTTCGATCCCGATTCATACCGTTTTTTGAGACAAATTTTTTTCAAAACTACCCTTTTTCTTCTCTGAATTTTTTTTATTTTTTCATCAATTTAAATGTTATTTGCGGTAAAAATGTGACAAAATTTTTAAAAAACTTATTTTTTCCATATTAAGCTCAAAAAATGTGACTTAATTTTTTTTTCAATTTAGCCGTCAATTTTCTAAAAAAACACATTACCCTTTTTCCTATTTTTTTAAATTCATGTAAATGATGAAAATTAATTTTTTTTTCTGAAAAGTTACGGCAACAATGTTATAGGAAATTTATTCCAGTTTTCGAAACTGCGCTTCAATTCTCTGTACAACCATTTGTCGCCTAGAAATCAATGATTGAAGACAAAAGGATCCTTTTCCATTGAAAGTCCGATATTTCGATGAAAAATGGTCGTTTCGAAATTTAAAAAAAGGAAATTGAAGCTGAAAAAACAAGCTATCTGGTCCATGCAATGGCTTAGCTGAAAAAAATTTTTCCAAGTCCGTGGACTCAGAAAAAAATTAGAAAATTTGCAAAATTTTTTGTCGCGCTATTTCTTTCGACCGAAAGATCTAAAAACGAGAATCTTAGAGCTTCAAAATGCCTTTTTTTAATTCCTGATATGACCTAAATTCTTTTGACCCTTTAATTTTTTGCATTAGTGTAGTAGGATTATTTTGTAAGTAAAAATGTAAATGATTTTATTCAATTGAAAAAGAAACACATTTTGTCTCTATAGCAAATAGGCAACCAGCAATACATTTTTATCGATTTTATTTTATTTTAATGACAGATTTTTCTTCTATTCTAACGCAGATTTTCTATGAAATGGAATTAGTTTGAAACTCAAATTACTTTTTGTTGTAAAGAAATTTGTAATTCATCGCTTTTGAGCAAGCGGCATCGTAAATTACAAATTTCTTTACACTAAAGAGTTATTTGAGTTTCAAAACTAAGTCGATTTTATAGAAAATCTGTGTTCAAATGGAGGAAAGTCTGTTATTTGTGTATTGATTCATATTTAGACAAACTGTGTTATAAAATCTCTAAAAATGTCTCTGTTATAGAGCCCTCTTAATCATTGTATCCAGTGTAAGTTTGGTTGCCTAACAGTTGCGGTCACGTGGGACTCGGGCATTTACAAAGACACTGTATTTTTACACATTTGGGTAGAACATTTTTATAAGATTAGAGTGTTTCAAGGTTTGACGAGCCTTTCTCTAATAGCAAGAGAAATATAATAATAATAATAGTTATTTTCTTCCAACTTTTTAGCTAATGGTATTATGGGAAACAACTACTCTGCGAGCTACAGCATACTGACAAAAACTAACAAGTTCAGTGCTGAACCAGGGTTCGTAGCGGCCGGGAAAACCGGGAATACCGGGAAAAGTCAGGGAATTTGTTATTCTTCATAAAAAACAGGGAATAGTCAGGGAATTTTTAAAATATTCATGAAAGTCAGGGAATTTGATGTTTGCAACTGGAAATTTTGTAAAAACCGGCCCTGGGTTCTTGAAAGAAAAAACTATTTGTGATTTTGATACCTTTATAAGAGGTTGTTAGGGTATAAAAGAGATTATGGAGTCCAGTCGAGAAAAAATTTAATCTATAAACACCAATTATTATATAAAAATGAACTACAAGTGACCTGGATTTTTTTTTATAAGTCAGGGAAAACCTGGAAAAGTCAGGGAATTCTTTCACTTTTGAACTATGAACCCTGTGAACGGAGCATGTAGCCCATACAGTAGTTTCCCACAATGTCTTTAGTTATGAAGGTTATACCACAGAAAGACGATCAACGAGTTTCCAACAACTTTTATCCTTACCTGCACGTTATTAGCAGAGACACTTAGCATAGAAACATGGCCACAGTCAATTCAATTGACCCCTAATTCGAACTGGCTTATCCACGATTTCGTCAAATTCAAGTAAAAATGGGGCCCTTCGGGTCCGTAGTCCAAATACGTGAATCCTCCGTAACTCTTAGGCCTCGCCGGTTCTATTTGCGTTCCCTCGTGCCACTCGTTGAAGCTGGTGATAGAAACGTATGAAACTTTGTTGTTTATAGCCGTTCGCCAAGCTACGTCGTAGTACTGTCCGTTGCGTCTGTGTCTGGTATTTCCTTCGTTCCAAGGACGCACCCTGCTGTCTATGTACCCGGGCCCCACCGAGGGGACAAAAATAAGGCCGTTCTGTGTAGCAAATTTCGATAGTTGGCGCCAATTTTTCCACGTACTCCCGTACGTGAATGAATTAGTCGCAAAGTACGTGTAGAACCCATCGAATTGTGACTTTTTTATGTGGTACTTGTGCTGGATGTCTACTAACAGTCCTAAGTATATGGCGTCGAAGGCTGTATTACGAACACTGAGATTGCCTTTTGTACTGAAGAGCTCCTTCCAAGCCACTGCGGGGATTAGATAGGAATCGTAGATGTAAATGACGGGTACCGTTTTTTGTGCTAGAGGTTTTTTAATTTTATACAAAGCGGGGTGATCTCCGTATTCCATGAAAAATTGTTTTAGATAAGTCAGTAGATTTATGGGATTTCTGCCCGCGTAAGGCTCGACATGTATAGAGACCTTTACGTTATATTTGAGGGCTGTATTGAAAAGATGAGGTAATATGTGGCTTGGTGAGTCGGTAAAATTGGGGGGTGTCCAAGAAACAACAATAACTCCAATGCCCGATTCACTTATTTGCTTGAGATGAGTGTCGATTACACTTACGTCTGCCGAGCTATAACAACCCAGGTAAGGGTAGTAGTTTGATCCTATATCCTTAGGTGGACGATGTTTACCAGTAGGATACTTCTTGTGACTATCCTTTTTCCAATTTTCTATATATTTGTGATTCCAATGTTTATATTTTCCATCTACTTTTACATTTCCATACCATGCATAATAGAAAGTGTGGACGTTGTAATTAGGTTGCAACATCGGCTTGCTATTTAAAATTATCGAACGGGACTTTTTGAATTTCCTTTCAAGCCTTTCTATCTTCTGTTTTATTATCATTTCTCTTATTTCTCTATCGGTATACATATTTATTATATTATTACTGGAGTTGGATTTAACAAAGTAAGAATAAGTGGGAGTTGTTGTATACTTATGTTCTTGATAGTTGCTAACAGTTTTTGTAGATATCAACGTGTAAATAATTACAGCAACCACCAGCATACTAATTAAATAATATTTTTTAACAGTAAATGTGAACATCTTAATTTGGTTCATTTCAAATTTTTTTCAAACTTATTTAGCAGCAGTTTTAAACTTAAAAAATCTGTTTCACTTTAACATAGGTGGTGCGTAACATTATACCGCAAATTTTTAAAAGCAATTCCCGGAATATGCCGGATTTTGGGCACACCCCGAAACCGGAGTACTTTGTTTATTTACCAATCTTTTTTAGAAAGCTGCGTTCAATCAGATATTACGATTTATTATTTACGACTGAATGTAACATTTTCCTTAATAACTAGTGAGAGGATTTACAGATATTTAATTTTTATACTAATAAATTAAATTACATTTTTAATATCTACAGTATTACGAACTATACTAGCATGCATGAATAAAATTTAACTTTGTTTGGCATAGTGGAATACGTTTATTTGCAAGGATTGAATACGCCTGCAATCGAAAAGGCACAATTACTGCCAATGTTATAAACTAAATTGCCCTAATGCGCGCAGAAGCCGATGCCGTGTTACGTCAGTTAATCGGAAACGAAATGGGATGGAAAATGGCATATTAAAATGGCGTCGTTTAGTGAATACGCCATTCAATTTGTACAAAAAATCAAAAGAATTTATAAATGTATTTAAGTTGAAAGAACTTAGCAAAACTACAATATAACAACATGGATGCAGTGAAATCATTTAACTCGGAGGTAAATATCCAGAAATATATTTTTCAGCGCGTCCACGCTAATCGGACGCTTACCCTGGTTAAATTTATCAATGAAATAAATTGCATAGTTTTCTGTATCCAAACATCAATTCTGTTAAACTATAACGTGGAAACTAATTTATTTTTGTTTTTGTTACAGCTCTCGTCTCTGTACGAGGTAAAACCTCCGATATCAAAAGCCAAAATGACCGCCCTAACCCGAGGCGCAATAAAGGCCATAAAGTTCTATAAACATGTTGTGCAGAGTGTTGAAAAGTTTATTTTGAAGTGCAAACCTGAGTATAAAGTGCCTGGACTATACGTAATAGATTCTATAGTGCGACAGTCAAGACACCAGTTCGGCTCTGATAAAGATGTGTTTGCCCCGAGGTTTTCCAAGAACATGCAACAGACTTTTGTTAACCTCTTCAAGTGTCCACCGGAGGATAAAGTGTGTATAGTTTTCTAACCTACTGTTATCTTTAAAGCTGTATTGGTTTTTAAAAATTAGGTATCATGTACGTGTACTATGTACAAGGGGCTAAATATTTTGAAAATTTAACGCTATGCAAGTCTTATGTAGTTCAGTGAAAGCAAATTTATAGTTTTTGTTTTATATTTACAATTCAAAGTTATATGACTAAATGGGGAACACAGAAAAATTATTGCGTGATTCTGTTTGTTTTTGAGTTAAATATAAAGTAAAAAATTTTAAAGAACGTTTAGCGAACCGGGTATTAACTACGTAATAGTTTAAATGCATTTATATCTAAGTAATGAAATAATTTCTAATTTGTTTATACATATTCAAAATTGTTTTGAAATGCGTAAATAGTAAACGTTACTTAAATGTTCTTGCAACAAATCTTATCAGGTTATATAAAACATTTATTATTTTTTACAAGTGTTGCAAAGATACGGGTAGGGTATTTTAAAGTTTTTATGAAACTGATTAGAATGTTTATCAACTTATAAACTGATTAATGATCATAAATTCACTTAGTGCCACATATAAAGTTTTAATCAAAATTTGTGCAATATATAGTAGGTTCAAAATTCAAAATTTTTATTTTATTAAACATTTAAAATAGGTAGAATTGATTTCAAATTTTTTTTTTAACCAATTACATTTTTATGTTATATTTGTTAGGAAGATATTTCTATCTACTTTTCTTTTAATTTAAAAAAAAAGTTTGTTTTTGAAATGCTTATCTACAATTTTGATTATTATAAACAAAATTATTATAAATTAAAAAATAACCCAATTGCAAAATTTACCTTTCACAAAATTAATTTTTCTTTATTGTTTTACTGAAATAATAAAACTGACTATTCTTTTTTTGAGAATGATTTCATGTGATACACTGGTGTGCTGACTTTGTTATAATTAGCGGCTCGTGAAAATTAAAGTAGTCATATTTTGACAATGAAGCATGAATTCCATGCCAGTTTGCAGGAGATCATTTCTATGCTGACAGAAAAAACTTTCACGATAAAGGAATTTTAAACGAAGTTTGCTAATTATAATTTAAAAAACGGTACCATCCTCTGAGCGCTGAAAAAGGGTAGCACAAATATGTATAAAACATTTTTTTATATAAACAGCATAAATACAAACAAGTGTGTTTTTACTTTTCGCAAAATTTAAGTTTTCCTTAAATTTACGGGATTATGAAGTTCGAAAAATGAAGTCAATATTTTAATTTTGTTTTCTGAGACTTCTTCAAATTTTTTTTTGTCATTAAAGTTGTTAATGTAAACGTAAGAATCATCCCTTAGAAGATGGTATGGACCCCGCACTTCACTAACAAAATAAGTAAATTAATTACGTTTTTTCGCCTGTTTTGCACTTAACCAAAAGGGAGCATTTGAAGGGGTTCATCTTTTAAAAATGTGTCACAGAGAGGTACTCCTTCAAATTTCTGCTCTAAATATTCTTTGCACCACTTCAGTATTAATATATTTATTCAAACATCTGAAGAAAATGTTGATTAAAACGGTGTTCGTTAAATTTATATTTGAAATTATACATACACTTTGTTTTATTTGATTTAAGCAGTTGTTTATATCATTAATGTATATAAATCTGTAAAAAACGCACTGAAATTTGCAAGTACTACTCAAAAAGATTGTATGAAGTAGTAAAGAAACATGACATTTCTCGTAACGTGCCTTTCTTTTCCAGAGTAAAATCATAAGGGTCCTAAACCTTTGGCAGAAGAACCAAGTATTCCCACCGGAGGTTGTGCAACCTCTGTTCGACCTCGCCGACCCGAACAACCCCATCCACAAGGAACTGTCCGTTACGGCGCAACAGCCCTCGAACGGCTTAAACTCGTCCACGGCAGCCGTGATCGCCAAAGGTTGGTAGAAAGCTTTTTATTTTTCCACTTGACTTATACATTAAATACTAATATGCAGTGTGCCAAAGTTCATTTTACCTTCCAAGTTTTTGTGTATTTGTTTGGCATGCTGCGATGCGCTAGCATATATCTAAATAAGTTGTTCGTATTAGGTTCTCCCGCTCTGCAACGAACACCCACCAAAGGAAATCAGCCAGGGAACGAAAACCTCCATGGAGCTTCAAGTAATTTGGTACATATCCGTTCCAAGCCGTTTTTAAGGATAGGATAGATCTATAAAACAGTGATAAAAAAATAGATAGTCTAAATTACCGCAAGCAGATTTTTTTTATGAAAAATCTTCGAATTCTCGGATGGATATTAAAAGATAAAAACGCACTTATCTGTGTCTGCGTTAGGAAAACAACAGTACAAATACGAGGAAAAAATTATGACGCAATTTATCCGTTTGTGATTAGTCGAAGCAAAATATTTGATGTCGGGGACTTCTTGGAATGTCAACAAAGTTTAAAACAATGACGAGAAATGCGTTTGACTAAGGCAGAGATTTTCTTTAACAAAAATTAGTTAAAGAGAATTTGATGCTATAATTTCGATAATTGTAAAAATTAACTCACGAATATTACAAACGAAGAATTGCCTTGCATTTTAAATACTTTAGGGAACTTTTTGCAACTTTTTAACAAAGATTATACTAATATTGTGTAAATATTTGAGCAATTTTTGTTGCACTATAAGTTTGCAGTTTTAAAATTAAAAAAATTGCCAAAGAGACTTGTTAAATTTAATTGAGTTGCCGCATAAGATCGGTAACATTGTAATTACGAGAACTCGAACAACTTATTTAGATATATGCTTTATATGTGTCTAATAATGTTTTTTTTATAAAATATGTGTAACTTCTAAAAAATTGCGTTATATACAGGGTGTACCTAAATAACACCGAAAAAATGTAAGGGGCGATTCTCTGATGAAAATTAGTAGGGGTCATTGGTATAAAATTTTTTGAAAAAACTCCTGAAAAGTTGCCCCCCAAAAATTTCAAAAATAAAATTGTTTTTCTTTTTTTATCTTCCATGTGTATCAAGCGAAAGAAACCAAACTTGGTGAATATTATCTGTCAAAAAAACTGCACTTTTTGATTTTTTTCAACCCTGAAGTATTATTGTACGGTTTTCTACGGGATTGCAATAATCTACCCCTACGACATTTTTTTCTTATAATTTTTTTTTTGATAAAATTTTTCTGCATTGCAGTACATTTATTTTTTTTCTCATAAATCCTAAACTTTTCAAAAAAACTTGAAGAGATGAAAAAGTTGGTAATTGAATGGGGCTGTTTAGACATTTTTTAAAAGTAAAAAATTTAATCAAAAAAAAAAATTACAAGAAAAAATGTCAGGGGTTGATTATTTCAACCCCTTAAAAAAGGATGTCAGTGTTAAAAAAAATTCAAAAAGTGTGGTTTTTTTGACATATAATGTTCACCAAGTTTGGTTTTTTTAGCTTGATATGTATGCATGGAAGATAAAAGAAAAACAATTTTTTTTTTAATTTTTGGGGTGGCGTAACTTCAAGGTTTTGTCAAATAATTTTATACCAAACACCCCTATTAATTTTCGTCAGAGAATCGCCACTTACATTTTGTGGGTGTTATTTAGATACACCCTGTATACAAGAAAAAAGTAAATCATTAGATCTACTTTGATCTTATTAAATATTTTTGAAAAAATAATCGCAACAAATTTGATAAACACGGTGGTCCAAAATTGTCTCCAATATTTCCAGGGTTAATAAACTTTTTTCCAAAATTGATATACACAGTCTAGGTATAAGAGAATGACCGCAAAAATCGCCCGTTTTTTCACAATACGCAGAGAACTAAAGAAAATAGATAAACATACGTTTTTGATCTCAAATTACTCGTCGTAAAAAATTAAGGCAAGCATAGCTTTTTGTTTTTTGAAAATTTTCAAAAATCACCTCTAGAGGTTGAAAAGATGCCCAAAATGAAGAATTGAATATTACCGATAAATATAAAAACTATTGTCATGTGAATTTTTCTATTGAACGATTCTTGATACAAAGAATGATTTATTCTCATGACCGAAATAAGCATGTTGAATTAGAAAATCCACCCTTAAGCGCGCTCAGCGGGTGGAATCGTCCCCAAAAAATAGAGAATATCAGAAATAATTGTAAAAATTCCCAAAAAAAAATATTAATATAATTCACATGCTAATAATTTTTATATCAATTGGTAATATTCAAATTCTTCATTTTTGGCATTTTTTCAACCCCTAAGTAGGGGTGATTTTTAAAATTTTCAGAATACTAAAAGCTATGCTCATTTCAGTTTTTTATGACAAGTAATTTGCGACCAAAAACATATTTTTATGTATTTTTTTAAATTCTGTTTGAATTGTGAAAAAACGGACGAAAATCACAGGTTTTTTAAAATTAATTTTATTGTGGCGAAGTGTGTGACGCCATCTATCTGCGGTCAACGGAGCTACATAGTTGGGAGCCTTCGGAGTGACGGAATAAAATTTCATCAGTGTATTTATATCTACCACGAAGTTATAACGTATTGCGTGAAGCGAGTTTTTGGCATTTGTCGGAAACGCACATTGAACAGCTTACGGCAATCAAGTTCTGTTTCAAAGCCGGTAAGATGGCCACGGAAACGCATCAACTGTTACAAATGGCGTATGGTGAGGAGTTTGTATCCCGTCCAATTGCGTTCCTATGATTCGGAAGGTTTCGTTGTGGCCACGACAGCGTACACGATGACTAGATAACGAGGCGTCTTCGCACAAGCCAAACAAACGAAAACGTCGAAGTTTTTGTGTAATTGGCTTCGATGTTTTCGTTTGTTTGGCTTTTGCGAAGATGCCCCGTCCTCTCGTTGTCGTCCACGCCGTCTCGGCCAACACGAAACCTTCCGAGCCACGGGAACAGTCGGATGTGATACACACTGCTCACCCTATGCCGTTTGTAACATTTGATACGTTTCCGTGTTTTACCGGCTTTAAATCAGAACATGTTTGTCGTACGCTGTTGTACATTTACAAGGCATATATCAAAAACTCGCTTCACGCAAAACGTTATAACTTTGCGGGAGATACACGTGTGTGTACTGATGAAGTTTTGTTCGGTCGCTCGGAAGGCTCCCCATTGTGTAGTCCCGTTGTCTACACATAGATAGCGCAACACACTTCTCCACAAGAGTCTGTCGATGCGATGAAATTTGACAAATGTACTCTTATGTAAATCTGAATTCTTTTTCAGAAAATATAAAAACGCGACCTTGTTTTTTTCCATGTACTGCCTGTTCTGAAAATATTGGAAAACGCTTAAGAATTATCCTGCATATTCTTTTGATAATTAAGAAAAAAAAAAATTGTATCATCTGAAGCTATTTATGGCCGTTTTAGAATTTTTTTTTGCTTTTTTTGAGTATTTTGCCACTAAATTTAAATCATCTCTTCTGTAACGTGCTATTCGTCTTACGGTATTTTTTTCCAGAACTTGACGGACCCGAACGTCCTCCAACAATTACAGCAACTGCAGAGGTTACTGACCAAAAACGTAGAAAACGCAAGGGCTGAAAGTCAGGTGCATTTCGACAAGAAGCTACTAGATTTCGATTACGGGGATGAAGAAGACGAAGTTAACCCCTCCCCTAGACCCCAACCGAGCGCCAACGATTCGGTAACGAGGTAAGACGATCCGTAACGTGGTGTAAAACGATTCGTGAAGTAAATACCTATTTTTCAGCCTCCTGACAAATCCCGAGGTCCTCCGACAGCTCCAGACGCTGCAGCAGACCATGGTCGGTCCGCCGCCCGAGATGGACATGGACAAGATGAGGAAATTGCAAGAAATGAAGCAGCAGGAAGACGAGTTCGACAAACACCTGGCGCAGACGGTTCCGGTAAGTGCGTTTGTTCTACAACGAAAAAAAAGTGTTTCCCTTTGGTTGTTTTAATATTTTCTAATTTTCTCGTACGCAGAACTTACCGTTCGCCTCGGAATGCGAGTTCAAGCCGAGCAACACGCAGATGATGGGCGGGTACTTCATGCCGTCCGACATGAACCCTCCCCCTCCCAGTTACCAGACCCAGGAGTACGAACAGCAGCAGCAGCAGCAACAACAGAAAAGCATGATGCAAGACAACGGTCCCGACGTGGAGGTCATCACGTTGGACCACGACGATTCGCGGTCCGGCACTCCGGGGGAGGAACGGTACGGGAACAGCAGGAGGAGGAGGAGCAGGTCGAGGTCGAGAGACAGGAGCGGCAGGAGGGACAGAGATAGGAAGAGGAGGTCGAGGTCCAGATCGACGGGTAGGAGGCACCGTTCCAGGTCCAGGGATAGGAACAGGCTCAAGGACAAGAAGGAGGAGGAGAGGAAGGAGACGGAAAAGGACAGGGAGAGGAAGAAGAGGGGCTTGCCCGCCATCAAGAAGGACCACCTCAGCGGTAAGTGGAAAAAAATATATTTTAAATTAATTAAATTAATTTTCGCAATTTCAGTGTGCAGTACGACGCTTTGGGTCGGCCACCTGTCCAAACTGGTCCATCAGGACGACCTGTCCAATACATTCGGCGAATTCGGCGATGTCGTCAGCATCGATCTCATTCCCCCCAGGGGTTGCGCCTTCATAGTGATGCTCAGGAGGCAAGACGCTGCTCGCTGCCTCGGCAAGCTCAAAGGACACGTTCTGCACGCAAAGGCCATTACGGTCAGTACTTGTCTATTCTTTATATTATAAAGTTACGTGAAAAAAAAAAAAAAAAATTGTAAAAAATTCTTTTTTTTTTTATTTAATTTGCAAAATTCTTGGGATTAATCGAGATCTAGGAGTCCTGACGCTGCAACATCATTTGTGATTGTCATTTGTTTTTAACATATAATCCCTCGCCTACTGTGATTCATTTGCGATATAAAATATATATGTACAGACTAAACACAGTGCTTTAAGAGGTCTCTATAGCAAATAGGCAACCAGTAATACATTTTTATAGATTTTATTACACGGTTTGTCTAAATATGAATCAATGCACAAATAACAGACTTTCCCCCATTCTAACGCAGATTTTTCTATAAAATAGTAAAGAAATTTGTAATTTGCCGCTTTCGAACAAGCGGCATCGTAAATTACAAATTTCTTTACACCAAAAACTATTTTCGAGTATCAAACTAAGTCCATTTTATAGACAATCCGCGCTCGAATGGGGGAAAGACCGTTATTTGTGCATTGATTCACATTTAGACAAACTGTGTAATAAAATCTATAAAAATGTATTGCCGGTTGGCTATTTGCTGTAGAGCCCTCTTAAAGAAATCGTTTCTCCTTTCCAGTTGGCCTGGGCTCCGGGGAAGGGAGTGAAAGGCAAGGACCTGAAGGACTACTGGGAGGGCGACCTGGGCGTCTCCTACATCCCGCACACCAAAATCAAGGAAGACATCGACATCGAAATGCTCGAGGACGGCGGCATGATCGACGAGGACACCATGCCCGTCTGGATGAAGGAGAAGATGGAACGCATGGGGAAGAAACCTATGGGCCTGCCCAAGGACCTGCCCGGGTTCTTGATGGGCGGGGACCACGTGTCCAACACATCGGGCCAGATAGACACCAGCCAGCCGCCTCCGTTGCCCGGCGGCGGCCTGCTCCAACCGCCCCTCCTTCCGCTCGTCTCGCCGTTCCAGTTCAACAACCGCCTGCTCGGGATGAACGTGCCGCCGGGCTTGATGCACAACATGTCGAACATGCCCAATATACCCATCGGGGTGCCCCCGCCCAACATGCCGGCGCCCATGATGCCCAATCAGTTGCTCGGCATCGGGTCTCCCTTCCAAGGTAAGATAAATGATATTATTTCGTTGGTTTGCAATTGTGGGGACTCGGCAGGGTTTTGTGCGGTGGAAGGGGTGGTATATTATTCCAGTAGGCCCTCTTACATTTTGTTGATAAATGTGATTTATCTCTAAATGTTTTATAGAATATAAAAAAAAAATGTTTATTTTAGGAAATTCTCGATCGATTACAACGTTTATCCATTTAAGGACAGCGAAAACGGCCGATTGAGACCAAAGTGCCAACAACCAACGGAATGAAACTATTGTTGCGGCACTTTTTTTTGGCTAAAAATCGCCTTCGGAAATCTATGCGCTTAGTTTTTCCAGTTCTAAAAAAAAAAAATTTAAGACGTACCTATTTTCATGTAGCGAAACCGTTTTCAGGACCCCCCGGCATGATGCCACCCCAGATGCCGGGCATGGACAACAAACCACCGACGTCCACCACCGAATCCAGCCTTCAGAGCCTGAGCGAGTCCCTCATGAGCATCGCTCAACCGTTCGGGTTGATCCCGCAGCCGCCTGCGCCCCACGACGACAACATGGACGTGGAGATGGAGGACGCCGAGAAGGGCATGGAAAAACCGATGTCCCTCAGCGAACAACTCCAACAGATGGCGGGTCAGTTTAATCGCCCTAACAGGGACGATAGGAGGGATAGGAGAGACGGTAGGGACGATCGGGAGCGGAGGAGGTCGAGGAGTAGGGATAGGGAGAGGGAACGAGACAGGGACAGAGATAGGTATGTAACCAGTATCTTCTCGTGATTTATTATTTTTTTTGTGATTTTCCGTTGAGACGTTACGATATTTTCAGGGATAGAGGCAGGGACCGTCTCAACAGTCGCGAAAGGGACCGCAGAGAAAACAGTCGCGGCAGGGACAGAGACAGAAGAGACGACCGCCGGGACCGTTCCAACAGGTGGGGCGATAGGGACCGGGACAGGGAACGCGATCGCCGTGAGCCGAGGGAACCCGAGAACAAAGACGAGAAACGGGAACGGGAGAAGAACCTCAACGATCGTTTGAGGGAAATGGCCGGTATGGGAACTTACGAGGAACCGAGGAGAGACAGGTCCAGTAGAGACAGAAGGAACTCGGATAGCAACTCGAGGAACTTCCCTCCCCCCACGCCGCCTCCTCACGTGACCGACGGCCCTCCTAAACCCGAGGAAGATTTTATGAGAGGCCCGCCTAAACGGCCGCCGCCCAGAGGCGATTTCCCTAATCAACGAGGGCCGATGGACGAATTCCCACCGCCGGCGTTAGACGCGCCGCCTATGCCTCCCATTCTCCAATGTCCGCCGGATATGATGGACGACGGGTTACCCAATCAGGACGGAGCTCCCGACATGTCGGAAATGCCCCCCGATTTGATGGAAGGACCCCCCAATTTAATGAACGATGGCCCTCCCAATATGATTAACGGCCCAGGACACAGGGGGCCGCCAAATATGATGGAAGGACTACCCATGTTAATGGACGAGGGCCCCCCCGATTTAATGGAGGGACCTCCCGACTTGCCCCCACACATGCGAAGAGACGGACCCCCTCACATGAGGATGGAAGGGCCGCCAGATATGCCTCCGCTCATGATGATGGACGGGCCCCCAGATATGCCCCCGCACATGAGGATGGACGGGCCCCCCGATATGCCCCCGCACATGAGGATGGACGGGCCCCCCGATATGCCCCCACACATGATGATGGACGGGCCCCCAGATATGCCCCCACACATGCGTATGGACGGCCCTCCGGATATGCCGCCCCACATGAGAATGGAGGGGCCCCCAGATATGCCGCCTCATATGATGATGGACGGGCCCCCGGATATGCCGCCTCACATGATGATGGATGGGCCCCCCGATATGCCGCCGCACATGAGGATGGACGGGCCGCCGCACAGGATGCACCCCAGGGGCGATATGGAGCACGACAACTTCATGAGGGGTGGCAGGAGGGATTTCGGACCGAGAGGAATGAGGGGACCGCCGAACCAGGAATTTTTCCCCAGGGACGATTTCGGGCCCAGAGGACCGCCAATGATAAGGGGAGGTCACGACTTTGGGCCGAGAGGGCCAGATTTCGGGCCTAGGGGGCCGGATTTCGGCCCGAGAGGACACATGATGGGTCCCAGGGGACCTAGGGGGCAGTTCTTCGGCCCTAGAGGACACAGACCTAGGGGTAAGTTGTTTTTTTCGTTACTTTTAATTTGAGGAAGGTATTTTTCGTAGGTTTTAGTAATTTTGATCAATTATAAATATACAGGGTGTAACTTTGATCTTGTGTTTTAAAATACGTATCTTTTGAGAGGGATCTATGGCAAATAGGCAACCAGTAATACATTTTTATGGATTTTATTACACTGTCTAAATATGAATCAATGCACAAATAACAGACTTTCCCCCATTCCAATGCAGATTTTCTATAAAATGAAGTTAGTTTCAAACTCGAATTACTTTTTGGTGTAAAAAAAATTGTAATTTACGATTCAAATTACAAATTTCTTTACATCAAAAAGTAATTTGAGTTTCAAACCAAGCCCATTTTATAGAAAATTGCGTTAAAATGGGGGAAAGTCTGTTATTTGTGCGTTGATTCATATTTGAACAAACTGTGTAGTAAAATCTATAAAAATGTATTACTGGTTGCCTATTTGCCATAGATCCCTCTTAAATATTTCAATTCTGCATTTAAGTGGTAAAATAAGATTTTGACTTGGGAAAAATTAGCAAATCGGGTAACTTTTGAGGACACACTTGTGAGGGTGTCGTGAACAACTTATAAAAAGTTAGAATATACACTTCATTGTTTATTTAACAAATTAGTTGCAAAATTCAATTGTTTATTGTATATCTTAACAAATTCAATTTTAAAAAAAAAACTAATTGCTCCGATCGAAAGAACAGGAAATTTTACATAAAAAATGTATATAAAGTTATTTTCATTTTCTAAAATGAATACTAGGTTCTAGAATTTTTTTTAAATCGTACGAAAATGTAAAGCTTCGGCACTTACGTGCAGGAGTCGAGGAGCGCGCGGCCTCGCTCGTTATACACTAAATTTGTTATAACTCGATCTATTTGATCAAGTAAAGTCCTCAAAAATTTTAATGTAAGAGGAATCTTGTAGCTATTATTTTAAAATGGAAAAAAAATATTTGTAGGAATAGTGTGCAAATAAAGTTACGTAACAGTAGAATTTTCTACAAAATTAATTAAAGGTCTGCCATTTTTTAAATTTTTAAGATAAAAATCTAAAATTTTCAGATTACTTTTGAAATAGCATTTAAAATAGTGAATGATATAAAAAATTTTAATTCGAAAAATACAATGCTCGAAATATTCAATAATTAAAAAAAAAGGCAAATTTGATTTGTTAGGTCACTTTTCAGTCTGAACTTTAGTTCAAAATATGATGTTGCAACTTTACATGATCATTTTTTGAAGCTTAAAAACTGTACATTAAGCTGGTCCAATTTGTTTTATTTAAAACGTTGAATTTATAATAAAATTTAAAGAAAAACAAAAAAAATAAAATTTTTCTAAAACAATGAAATTTGTTGTTAAATAAACTTCAATAAAGTTAAAAAATAATTTTTTTTGCTTTAACCAATGTATTTTCAAACTAAGATCTTAAAACGAAAAAAAAATAATTTTTTGTTACTATAATATTGTATAAAATACGAAAAAATATGGTTTTTTAATAAATTGCTGCGAGATTCAGTTTTACCTATATTTTTTCATGATGAAATTATGTAGAATTTTATCTGGTAACGTAATTCATTCTCGTGATTCGAGAATTATATTTTTGAATGTTAGAAAGAGCGTGCATGGCAAAACTCACAAAACACACTTTATACTAGTTGTATAGCATACTCTTGTGGCAAAGAATGCATGTCAACCGAATCTGTCAAATAACTGCTTAACGGTCCAGAATTTCTTCCCTCGGAGCTTCAAATTCATGAGCGTCTACACATTTTCTATTGGATTTGCATCTGGAGACTGCGACGGCCAATCCAGTACGTTAACGTTATTTTCTTGCTTCCACCCAGTACAAAGACGACTCCGATGTTTTGGGTCATTGTCTTCTTGCAATAGCCAATTTTAATTTTTCCGCGTAAACCGCCTTTCGGCAGATGGTAATAAAGCCCTCTGACATATTTTGACCATTTTGGCAGCTTTCAAATTTTCTGTGAAGATGTGCAAATTGCCAAATCCCTGCTTTGAGAGACAGCCCCAGACGTGCACCTTTACCAGGTGTTTAACGTTCCGCTGAATGAGTCTATTGGCGTGGGTAGACCAGGTATGGGTGATAGAAGAATGTACCCAAAAAGAAGCTTCATCCGAAAAAATTACATTGTCCAAATCAGGGTCCAAATTTTCTTTCGCCCAATTGAATCTTTTTTCGACGTGGTTTTCAGACAGTAGCGGTTTCTTCCCTGTGCTTCGAAATTTCACTACATGAGCCAGTAAATGCCTTCTTATAGTGTCACATGGCACATTTAGACCCTTTTTACGCAAAATCGCTTGCCCCCTACGCAATGATAGACGAGGATTCTGCCCAAACACCCATAAAATCACTGTCCTACTTTTTCGTCGTTTTTCGTACAGAGCCACGATCCAGTAGGTCTTTGACGTTTTTTACGTCGGAATAACCGTTCCACCCATTTACTTACAAATGTCTTCGACTTTTTCATGTACTTAGCGGCCGCACCGTGCGACATTTTCGGTCCTTTCGAATGTAAACACAGAAACACGGTTTCGAGGACAAAGTTTTGCCATACACGCTCTTATCAAACAGACTGTACTTTCACAGTTTGCTTTGTGAAGCCAAACATATCTGCCACGTGTTTTTTTATTTTCATCTCATTTTTTATTTAAAAAATAATTGTTTACATACATAGCTTCAGTAATAATTTGAAGATTATCATTTTTTAATTAATTGTTTAAAAAAAGTCGGCCATATTGGATCAGCCATTTTGAATTACTTTTTAACATTATATTTTTATTCAGTGACCTCGACAATTTGATAACTTTTTTTTATAAGCCATTTCAAGACGATTGCAAAAGGTTTTATGAAAATCCAAGGCTCTAACTAATTCACTTGTGGCGGTTTGAATACTAATCAGTTCCTCGTCGATATACAACTAATTACAAATTCATTCCCGACAGGACCATACAGAGACGGCCCCAACTTCAACTCACGTTTCGATGGCCCGCCACGCTTCGACGGCCCGTCGCGTTTCGACGGTCCCCCTCCGGAGTTCTTCAGGGGCCCGAGGGGGCCCCCGCCAATGTTCGACGACGGCCCGCATCCCAGGCACCGGGGCCCGCCCAGGTTCGAGGACAGACGTAGGGGCAGGCCGGGGCCAGATTTCAACCCCGACTTTATGGACAGGGGACCCACGTTCGATAGACCCGATAAACCGGAAAGGAGAAGTCGGTGGGGCGGAGGATCGCCCCCTAGGGACGTACAAAACGACGAGATGGAGGAAACGCAAGAATTCGCCGGCGGCGAGAACGAAAACGTAGGAGGGCAAGAGAATCGAGACGGGGCCAGTACGCCGGTGAGGGACGAGTGTCCGCCCCCGATGGAGGAGAACGTGCAAGGATTCGAATCCCATCAGGAGGGCGGGGAGCCGAATGCGGAGGAGCCGCCGGCTGAATAACATAGATTCGATATATTATTACAGTACTAATTAGTTTATTCAGCACCTTGTGGAAGTTTTAATCGGTAAGAGTATGTCTTTGATTAATTTTATATTTTCCTTTTTAAAGAAAAAAAAAAAATTGCAATAAGCAACCGTGTGAAACAGTTGGAATTTCTGTCGGGTGCTCTAAAATGTATATATATATGAAACTTTTTAAAGAATTTAACGGAGCAGTCGTGATTGTGAATATGTATTGTAGTCGAAAAGGAACGCTTAGCTGTGATCTGGTGCGGTGAACACAGGTGAACACTCTGAACGTTTTGACTTGACAAATGTTTTTATATTATTTAAATGAGAAATAAATGATTTTTATTATGTTACATAATTTTTGTTTAGTTTCTCGATACCGTAATGTCGAATTTAAATTTTTCCGTTTGGTTGCGTCCGCAAAAAAAAAGTGGCGAAATGTAAATTTCTAGTATTTCTCTCCGAGGAATAACCGACGGAGCAAAGAACGAGTTATAAAGAGGTGACTCATCGAAAGGTAGGTCCATCTGTGTTCACGACAGCTAGGAGGAGGAGTCCCAGCGCCGGCCCTCAAATCGAGGCGTCGGTGCAAGGTACAGTCCAAGTTCTTTTTTATATATACCTCTACCGTATATTTTGTCGGACGTTTTTAGCAGAACGGAGCATATATTTTTACGAGAAAGGCGCGCTTTTAAATTTTATCTAATCTTACCGACGTAAAGTTTCAAGTAAAACAACTTGTTCCTAAAATATTGTAAATAGGGCGTATACTGGTCCGGAAAACTTGGAATTCTCGGGGAATTTCATAGACGGGGAAACGTCGGTGATTTCTCAAATTCTCATGGATTTTTTTTTAATTTTAAAACTACATGCTGATAGACCCCAAAATAAGAAAATAATTCTAATAAACATGAATATTGTGCTTCAAGTAGTTCCTGATATCGATTCATACACAGGGTGTTCAAACAAAAAAATGATTAGGACAAAAGTAGCAGGGTTTTGAGCGAGTAATCCAACGGTGACCTTGAAGGTCATTGAGAGGTCAAGTTGAAACTTTTAAATGGAACCATATACTTTTGACCCCGGAAATGGTAAGAGCGGAAAATTTAATGTTCGAATGTGACCTTAACCATGACCTTCAAGGTCATTTAGAGGTTTGATGTTATAGTTACCTTTACGTCATGGTCAAAGACATGGTATAGGTCATTTTGGAATTTTACAGTCACTCAATTTCCGCAGTCAAGAATATCGTGTCTTATTAAAAATCAACCTGACCTGTAAACGACCTTGAAGTTCATGGTCAAGGTGATATCCGAACGTAAAAATTTCCATTTTTTCCATTTCCGGGGTCAAAAATATACGGTTCCATTTAAAATTGTCAGGTTGACCTCTAAATGACCTTGAAGGTCGGGGTCAAGGTCACTGTTGGATTGCTCACTCAAACCCCTGCAACTTTTGTCCTAATCATTTTTTTGTTTGAGCGGTAGGTATTTTCTGAGATAGAGGGGGGGTTCCAACTTTTTGAACACCCTGTAGTATATGCTTAAAAATGAATAAACAAAAATTAAGAAAAAATACAGGTACTAAGTAAAATGTCTCATTTTTCTTGATCTGTCACTTTTTTTTACTTAAAACTTAGATGTTTTTTACATACAGTCCAGTTTGACTGATTTTAATGTGGCGTCAACGGAACTACGTAGGGGGAAGCATTGCGAGCGACCGCACAAAATTTCATCGGTGTACGTGTATCTACCATGAAGTTATAACGATTTACGTGAAACGAGTTTTTGACGGAAACCCACGTTGAACAGCGTACGGCAGTCATTTTCTATCTTAAAGCCGGTAAAACAGGAAACATAACTGTTAGAAACGGCATAGAGTCAAGAATGTGTATTACGTCAGACTGTTTTTGTGGTTCGGGTGGTTTCGTGATGACAAAGACCGCATACATGACGACTAGAGGAGCGCACAGTTTCGATGTTTTGGTTTGTTTGGCTTGTGCAGGAACGCCCCGTTCTCTCGTCATCGTGCATGCTGTCATCACAAGGACAGTCGGAGACAAACTCCTCACCGTTCGCCATTTGTAACGATTGATACGTTTCCGTGGCTTTTTACTGGCTTTAAAACAGAACTTGATTGCTGTACGCTGTTCAATGTGCATTTCCATGAAAACTATCAAAAATTAGTTCCACGTACTGATGAAATTTTGTTCGTTCGTTTGGAACGTTTTCCACTATGTGGTTCCGTTGACCGCCCATAGATAGCGCCATATATTTTGCCCAATAAAATCATTCTTAAAACTTGATATCTTCAATTTTAAAATCGTTCCGTTAAAATAAAGTAATTCTCGTAAACTAAAAATCTATTTGCACATCCAGGTTGCCTTTATTTGATATTTAGACGAGCAAAGATTAGTAGGACTTTTTTTTTTAAATCATATAAAAATGTTTCTCATTTAGGGACTGTTTTGATTAATAAAAAAGGGACATTGAATTAAACTTTTCGGTATAACTAAAAAATTTTAACCTATAAATATAACCTATATATAATTCCGTTTATTATATTTTATTGGGAACGTAACGGAGAACAAATTCTCGAAAGTTCTGCTAAAAACGTTCAAAATTGTGAATATGAAACATTGTATAGAAATATCTGTACTAACATTGCTTTTTAACTGATGGAGTTAATTAAAATTGTTTAACATTGTTTCATTTTCGAGGTGGTCACATTAAATAGTTTAGGAGTTTAATGATTAGGGTAGTTTTTAAATTTGTGTACATAGAGATGTGTACGTGGCTTACAAATATTTAATTAATGTGTTATTCTGGTGCTTCGGTACCGCATTTTATTTTTTTTTTTAGTGTCGGTATCAAGTACGGTTTTTTGTGTTTTTTCTTTTACTAATATTAATTCATGTATGTTATAAACATTGTATTGCATAATTCATAAATATAGATGTTGCAATGAACATAGTTTTAATTATTTTTGAAAATGAGAAGCTTAATTTTCAAATTTACGCACCCACTATATAATTCTTCAAAAGATTCGAAACATTAGTAAACTTTTTTACTTCGAATATTAGGACTGCTGGTTCTCGATGCTTTGGTAAATAAGTACCACACTGTTGGTACAATTAATAATAACTGAATTTAACTTCAAATAATTTTATTTCCGTACTAGATTTCACGTTGATTCGAAGATCACTGTTAACGAATGATCAGAATTATTTTTGAAATTATGCAATAAACTAAACCAAAAGGTACACCCTGTACATACATTTAGATAAATCGAGTCACAGTGAACGCGCAACATATTAAACAGCTTACATGTAAATATGGTTGCCTGTCGCATACATTATCTTAGACTGTAAAAATTATCTAAGAAATGGAAAATTTCGAAAACTGGAAAAGCTACAGAGGAACTGATTGTAGTTTTGGATTTATCAGGTTCGTTATAGTTTTTTTTCAGATCTTTCTGAGCCCTAATAATTTTTGAGAAAATCAATTGTCAAAAAATTAAAGTGCTTTTTTAAAGGCGGTTCCGTACGTAACTGGGGTCGTCAATCACTCTGTGATGATCTGTTTTGATTTATCAGGAGCGGCAAACACCTCGACATTCTGTGTTCCTAATACCTAGTTCCCAAACTACATAAAATTTTAATAAAAGTTGCAAATTTTTTTACAAATATATCAGGCACGGCAAATATTTTAATAAGAATTGATCTTCAGTTTCACAAATTTTTCTTAGTACGCCATCTATTGACTAAAAGCTCAATTAATTCACAAGTAAGTTGTAAGCTGTTACAGTTACCTACCAAGTAAATGTATCTTCCGTAGTTCATTACAATTTCTAATCAATAGATGGCAGCGCATGTAAAATTGGAACCATTGAACGCAACTTGATTGGTTAACAAATGCAAGCGAACGTTCCACTTCACTGCTTAAAAAGATTGGAACAATGTACTTCTAATTTCATGAAAATGAATGGCCCTCTAAAGGCGAGTGCACACGCATTTGGGTCGTAGTATACGCTCAGATAAATCTGAGCGTATTTATTTCATAAATGAAATAAATTAAAACAAATATCTAGACAGGTGTAATAAACGCCATTGAAACAGAAATAAATTTATTATCAGTTAAAAGTAAAACATTGATCTTTTTTCAAATTCATAGACACTGGGTTAAAAGAAAAAAAAAAAAGAACTGTTAACAGATTTGTAATCAAATTTCTATAGTCACAATGTCATGCAGTCAACTTTTCAATGCATTGTTTGGTATAGTTTTCGCGGCCCTGAAAAAAACACGGTTTATTTACTTATTGTGGAGGTGAGACAATTTCTTCTCGTACTTAAGGCAATCATTGTGTGTTTTGTACTCCATGGTGGCACTTGGTGGTATATTTAGTAAACGTTTGAGGGCGTCCCGAATCCGAGCCGTCGTCGCTTGATCCGACGCAGTCCGATTCCAAATACTTAAGAGGTACTCTTGATATCTAGTCGACACGACCACTCCGCATATTTCGTTCCCTGCCTGACAAATACACAAATTTAAAGAAAACTAACGGTAAGTAAAAAATCTGGGCTGAAAATGGTTATAAAGAGTAAATGACTTACCATAAATTGTTCGCCTAACATAGCCATACACAAATTTTCCCAAGCTTTCCCCGCCTGTTCTTTTCGAAGCCTTATAACCTAAAAATATGAAAATAATGTTGCAAACAAATAAATAACTTGTAACTATAAAATGCGTACCCACTTGCCCCCTTTTTTATTCGCCGAGTCTTCCCACATGGGTTTTATACCCTTTTTAAAGAGGTGTAAGTCTCTATGGGCTGGTATGTCTTGTAGCCTCACCATATGGGAATATAGCGCCCACCACTGTTCCACTGTGCCGACCTGCCCTACCAACCTTAGTGCTTGACTATATCCCTAAAAAATTATATAAAACGGTTAAAAACCATTCTGCAAATTTAAACAAAATATATTGAGGTTAACCCAAGTGTACTATTTGTTACAAGCAAACTAAGCATAAAACTGTCTTATGCAACATTAATGAGTCATTAAAATAAAAATATATATTCAAGTAATGTTCTACTTATTGTTTAGAAGCGCCACAAATTTCAGAAGAAATTTGTACGTTATTTTGTCATACAAACGGTGTTCTCGAAGCTTATAAAACAATGCCTTCACTTTTCAAATGAGACTTGATGTAATTAATAAAATATAATTTAGCACAGTAAGCTGGTCTTGTGTAAGTGTTACAGGTTATGAAGCGAACGAAACCTTACCTGCGAACCCTGTATTTGTGAAGGTCTTTTCGAGAACCAGAGGCAATACGGATGTTGAAGTCTGTGCTCCCCAGGCGGATACTCTATGGGGCCCAAGTCTGAAATATTCGGACCGACTTCCTCGTCCCCACTGCCACTATCTGAGTTGTCCACATGGTGATGTTTCAAACTGGAATATCAACAATGGACATAAACAATTGCGAAAAAACATGCGAGAAACGACACACGTACTTTTCAAACTTGTTCGACATATTGCAACCGGTACTGTTAATATTATACACCATAAAATACTATTATCACAGCCTCGAGCTAGTTTAATAGTTTATTTAATTTATAAATAGTACAAACTTATTTTCTACTACGAGCTTCCGTCAACTTACTCTTGGTGACCTTGATAAACACTCTGGCCAACGTAACTCGTGGCGACAAACATCACTAGATACCATTCCTCAATAACATATTTTTCATTGGTTTTAAAGTAAATAGAGAACTTTCAATAAGTAATAATGCCAAGTAAAGGTTTAGTAATGATTAAATAGTAACATAATGTTAGCTTGTTTTATAAAAATGGTATTAAATTAATATTTTAAACCAGCAACTCCAAAATTCCCTAGATAGTAGTTCAAACTGGAAGTAGATCAAATTACCATAGACAAACTATTGAAGATGGGATACTTACCGAATACTTTAGTGGTGAAAATAAAATTAATTACAGAAAATTTTCGCAATTTAGTAGATGGCGCTAAAATTCATAGAATGACAACAGACAAGACTCCTCTGCATAAAATGAGAAAGCCATATCTTGGGAACAAAAAATACTCTGGAGATAGTACTCATTTCGGAATTTATTTATTTTTTTTTTAAAATACATTTTAATATCGCAATCATTCAAGCGTACAAAAATATATTATTAACACGTTTACACCATTTTATTTAAATATAATATACAATATAAATTTAACTGTAAAACCGTATTAACATTCTATATTTCAACTGTGGGACAGTACAATTATACTTACGAAACTGTTTATTAAAATATACTATCACAACGTGGAGTTAAAACAAGACCAGTCTTAATTTATCCCACCTGATGCGCCGAAAAATTTTTTATTTATGTAAATATTGTCAGTCTGTATATTCTATTTAAGCGAATCTGAGTTGAAAAATACCTACAACAAATTTTTGCACTTTTAAATATCTTTTTAATTTAACCCTATTGTGTTACTAATGTGGCGTTTCCATTGGTAAAAATATCAAAATAAAATATCAATCAACATGTTTTCCTTTCGATGTTGGAAATAACGTAAAATGATGCCACTCGTGAGCGAAGTTTAAACAAACTAATCATATCGTAGAATAAAGCAATGTGTCTATTCTAATCGTTTAAGACACATTGCTGGGGAGAATTGCTTTAAGAAATAGAGGAACTTACGCAGCACCAAATTTTCCAGCACATCAGACGGTTATAAATACGTTTTAAAGCTGTAGTAAACTGCTGAAGGCAAAGAGGTTGAAATCCCACAGTAAAAATAAAATTTTTAAAAAAAACATCTATTTTCTACAGATTAGACTTAACGCCAAACAGAGTGTGTATATTACAAATCTGAAGAATTGGAAATATAACCAAAAATTATACACAAACTCCTTGAGGAAGTGCCTAAAGCTAGTGACGAATACGGATACAAATTTTTGCCGTTGAAATTTACGAACTTAAAGAGTTAGTTTTCGAGGAGTTGCAGACAATTTCGGGGTTATATTTTAGCATTTTAGTTCAACGAGAAAGGGGGAGAGGGGTAGTCTGTTGGCTCGCAAAAATATCAACTAGCAGCCTCACATTTCAGACTTATAGGTAAAACAATTTTATCATTAAATAATCGGATGGATGTCATACAATATACAATTTTATACTTAAGTCCGATAATAAAGCGAAAAAAATCCATCTACTACAACGATGCCCTGAGACATAACATAAATTAATAATAACTACAATAACATTAATAATATTAGGACAATACTTATAATTAAATATATTATAATAATGAGGTAGATTCAAAACTGATTTAACAGTATATAAGTATTTGAACAAATTATTGGAAGTTAAATATTACTAATTTTGGTTGAAAATAAAAGTCGTCATTTGTATATTCGAAAATAAGACTGATTCGACAGATACTGAAGGTGCCGGATAAGAATTATCTCTGAATGTCATTTAAATCAAAAACCCTAAATGACTTAAAACTCGTTTACATCTAAACACGTAAATTTAAATATATTAATATATTTTAAATTTTAAGCAATAATAACGGTCTGATAACTATTGATAAAATTATTGGTAGATCAAATGACTAACGGTCGTTTTAAATATTTTTGGTTTGTAAACAACACTGTAAAAATAAATTTTTGGCAATCTTTGGCATGTAAAATTAAAAAACATATTAATATATTCTAATGAAAACGTACAAATAAATTTGTAAATTTTAGACAATGGCACATCAAGTCGCCTTTTCAGAACGGTGACTGAGAACCTCGCTATAAAGAAATAAAATGGACGAAATGTAACAGTTATTTTAGTAGGTTAAACAGCATTAAGGTTAATGGTACCGGGTCGTTCACTATCCATTAAATCGATTACATACAGGGTGTATACCAAATTTTTACCATAAAATTCACCGACATAGATCTTCCGGGTAAATTTGAAAAATTTACATTTTTCATTGACCACCAAATTATTTAACAGTATTCCCCACGTAAATATTTAACAAAGCATGGTTCTTGCAAAAATTGAAGGGACTGTTATAAAATTTCCACCGAATGGAAAAAAACGTAACCTAATACTTTTTAGAAGACAAAAAATTCTTGTAATAAATTTTAAAGGTTTTCGATAAATTTTTGACTAAATTCTAAAATCTTTAATTTAATGATATTAGAATAAATTTAATTATAAACTCAACGAAGAATGACTTTCTTGGTTGCCACTTTCTGTTATAACCATTTTTTAAACAATGACACGTGTTTACGAAAACAATAAACTTGTCGAAATGCTCTTAATTTACAGGGAACGCTGACAAAATGTAGCCGCAGCATCACATTTATACAGCGTGATTCACTAACGATGGGAAAATCAAAAACTGAAAATACTACAAGTAAAATGGTGGCCATTAGCGCAAACATGCCTTATCCGAAAGTTGATAGTTTTGGGTATACAGGGTGTTGAAAGTTAAAATTTTAAATAGTTTTTTTGTGATTATTCTGAAAATATGAAGGTTAGGAATATTGGTTCGCGTAAAGAGTTGTGGCAAAGAATACAAATCGCTGCCAACGACGTCAGACGCACTCCCAATATGTTGTTTCAAACTCGAAGATTTCTCAGAAAACGTTGTGTAAAGTGTATCAGTGCCAACGGTGGATTCTCCGAACAATTATTTTAAATCATTATAACGTATTTCATTTATTTTATCGTTAATTGTTGTAATAACATGAAGAAACACTTTGTTTCGCTTTTAATTTCTCGTATTATCAAAACGTAATGTTCGTTAAATCAATTTTTCTCGAAAACGGATCGAGATACCGAAATGACACTAGAGTACATAATTAATGGACAAATGATTGCTCTTTCAGGTTTTGAATCAAGTTTCATACAGGGCAAAAAGTTATTAACTAACTTTTCAGTAAAATTGGTTATTCGTCGCTTATAAAAATATAGTTTCACATATTTTCAGAATAATCGCAAAAAAATGTTTTAAAATTTTAACTTTCAACACCCTGTATTTCCGAAACTATCAACTTTCGAAGAAGGCATGTTTGCGCTAACAGCCACCGTTCCGCGTGTAGTGTCTTCAGCTTTCGATTTTCCCATTGTTAACGAATCGTCCTGTATACGGAAAGATTTCTAATAAAAAAATCACCCGACGCAATCGCAAATATTCGTTCACTTGGTGAACGTGTCGTGATACGATCGTCACCTGAAATAACCGAAATAAAGAAAGATGTTGAATGACTAGTTGACCCTCGTGATCTTTTTTCTTCTTAAATTGTAAGCGGTAAATTGTTACAGTAGTTCCGACAGCAGAACTTTATTGGCTTATTATTTTCTTGGAATTATATCTCAGCAAATATTGTACGGACTGTACATAGAAACAGTAAAATCAAAATGGCGCTTGATGTGACAGTCAGTGGCGACAGCCGGTGGACTAATTGTTTGTTCCGACAACAGTCTCAAACTGTTTTCAAACTACCAGATATAATCGGCCACGTACTTTCAGAAAGTCTAAAATCAAATGACTGGACAGTTTTAAATCAATCACAAGAACGTGAACCTAAAATTCATGAAATTCGGTCATCTGGGTTGGTATACACCCTGGTACATATAAACGGTTTAAATAATAAAACCGAAATAAAATGGCCATAGGTGGTAGTGAACAAGCGAACAACTGCATTTAGTGCGTGTCGGAGGTCGACGTCTGGTCGGGTTTTTGATTTAATCGATATTTCAGGCGGTAACTGTTAACAGAAGACGAGCTATGCAATACTTTTCCATCCTAGTTACTAATCGTGAAATAGGAGGCGACGGTAAACCGATAAATGAACAACTATTGCTTTAAACTTTTGTACGGGTGAAACTGGAATGTCGGTGGTAAACGAGAGAAAAAAAATGAAAACAAGGTAACTGTTCAAAAAAGCGGCCTTTCTAATACTTATTGTTCTTGACAAGGAATGTTATCATGAGGTATATAAATATTGACAACCCTGAAAATATTAAGTATTTAACCGTTCTATAGTATGATCGGGGAAGGAGAGAGGGAGAGATCCAAAAATAGCGACGTGTGAAATGGGGGAAGCTTACGTTTTAGATTTTTTTGTAACGTGCGGTCTTTATATTATTTGAGCATTTCGTTCCTATTAAAAACAATGTTCCACGATGTTAGGTATCCTGTTTGAAAGAGAGAGGAAAAAAAACTGGTAACTATAAAAAGAAACGCTACTCCCACGTATGACAGTTAAGAATTAAGAGAACTAATCGTTGTTTTGTACAATATAAAAGGCACACACCACACGGAACTGTGACGCAAATAACAGTTCATAAAAATTTTGTACGTTATTGTATTTTCATTAACAACGGAATATCTTTGGGTAATATTTAAATTAATAAATATCTGTGGTAACGTCTAATATAGAACAAACAACACCGTTTTTTTCTGTTTATGTAACATTTAACATCATATTCAACAACTATACACTTATCTATATATACACCATTCACGCATGCTCGTACACCTGTCATATACAGAACTGAGATTCAAATGACGACGGTCCTGCCTCGTGAGTGCGGGCACATGCGAGTTTTCCAGCCAGTAGTTTTACGTTTTCGACAATATTTGTTCATTTTCTGTATATGACGAGAACAGTAATATAACTATACAATATTTCTTACTTAATACTAACTATATGTAATTTTTTTCAGGTACCGGTATTTCAACTATAGACATTATTATAGTTAGAGTAATATTGGGTTACACCAACTTACGATGAGACATTTTTTTAATCCGATGTTCCTCGCGACTGGATCCGGGTCCTGCGTTCACAACAACAACAATAACACTTCTGCAAACGCATTCAAAACGCATACTGAACGTGGACAATACTGCGATAAAAAATACGTAAACGATAAACGATAACAAATTTCAATCGAAGATTCGGTGGATTGTTAGCATTCGTTTCCGGATTTTCGATAACGAGAGTTGCAGCGACTATTTTAACGCTGTCGTACAATCTGGTGCTGGCTGGTGAAAATTAAAGCGATCGTACGAGGTGTGGCTATAAAATAACGAAACTGACGTTACATGTGCCAAAGCGTAAAGCTTCTTTCAATTGTCGCCTTTACCGTGTCTGTAGACATATTAGTTTGGCCGTTGCCTTCGTTCGTATAAGATCTATTTTTTGTTCTGCCAGAAAAATGCTGTGTTGTAATAGAGCAATCAATTGTCGTGAAATTTGAAAAAACCGCTACTGAAACTTATATTTTATTTAGAGAAGTATATGAAAATGAACATTTATCACGTTCGCAGGTTTTTGACTAATTTTTTCCAAAATGATCGAGAAGACGTTGAAGATGACGCACGCCAGGGTCACCTTACCACGTCAAAAAGGGATAAAAATATTGAAAAAATTGCAAATCTGATCCGATCCGACCATCGGTTAACTATTCGTACTATTGCTGAAATTGTACGAATTCACAAAAGATGCATAAGGCAAACTTTACACGAGAATTTGAACACGCAATAAATTAGTGCGAAAGTGGTGCCGAAAATCCTCACAATCAAACAAAAAGATGCTAAGTATTTGTATAATCCCTCGCCTACTGTGGTTCATTTGCCATAAAAAAATATATATGTACAGGCTAAACACAGTGCTTTAAGAGAGTTCCATAGCAAATAGGCAACCAACAATACATTTTTATAGATTTTATTACACAGTCTGTCTAAATATGAATTAATGCAGAAATAACAGACTTTCCTCCATTCCAACGCAGATTTTTTATAAAATGGAGTTAGTTTGAAACTCAAATTACTTTTTGTTGTAAAGAAATTAGTAATTTGCCGCTTTTGAACAAGCAAATTACAAATTTCTTTGCACCAAAAGGTAATTTGAGTTTCAAACTAACTCCATTTTATAGAAAATCTGCATTGGAATGGAAGAAAGTCTGTTATTTGTGCACTAATTCATATTTAGACAAACTGCGTAATAAAATCTATAAAAATGTATTGCTGGTTGGCTATTTGCTATAGAGCCCTCCTAAATGCCTTTAAAAATGATCCAAAGTTCTTGGAAAGAACGATAATATGGTAAGCGTCTATTTAGCATTGCAGGAACCCAAATTCACTGAAACCGGAAAAAACTTGCTTCTTTATAGAAATACGACCACCGTAATTTTTACCAGCTGTTAATATAGTGATCAATCGAGACCCACGCGAAAAAATTTTAAATTAAATTCAACAAACCGCTAAAACCTGATCACCGACAATTTTTTAAGCATTCTTTGATATTAACCCGTTCGCTATTCCAACGAAAAGATCCTATATACGAAATAACGTGACTGCAGTTTATTAAAAATCATAAAAATGAAAAAATTTAAGAAATCTTCAAAAAACAGTAATTTTTTACATATTATTTCCTTACTTGTAAACTAAAACTGCGTTTTGGAAAAAACTGATGCACCACTGAAAAAATAATGAACTGAAACTTTTAGGTTATGTTTGGTGCAAACCCTTTCCTTTTGATTTACGAGTCGCAATCGTGATAAGAACACAAATCAGCACAGCGACATCTATTACATTAAGCGGCATCTATAGGAAATAGGCAACCAGCAATACATTTTTACAGATTTTATTACACAATTTGTCTAAATATGAATTAATGCACAAATAACAGACTTTCCACTATTTTAAAGCAGATTTTCTATAAAATGGAGTTAATTTGAAACTCAAATTACTTTTTGGTGTAAAGAAATTTGTAATTTACGATGCAAATTACAAATTTCTTTACGGCAAAAAGTAATTTGAGTTTCAAACTAACTCCATTTCATAGAAAATTTGCTCTAGAATGGAGGAAAGTCTATTATTTGTGCAATAAATCATATTTAAACACTTTGTAATAAAATCTATAAAAATGTATTGTTGGTTGCCTATTTCCTCCTGTAGGGAAAATGTTTCGTATTCGATTGTTAATTTTTTTAGCACCATATTTAAATAAAAAGGATTTTATTTAAATAAAATAAACTGAAAAACAATGCAAAATATTTCCAATATAAAAAAGGAATCTTGGGGGTTGTGATCCCTATTCAACCTCGAGGATGTGCCAAACAGGAAATTTTTAAACTTTTCATGAAAATATTTTCATTTTAAAAATTGTTTTCATTCTGAAGACGTACAAATACTGTTTATAAACGAATTTTCGTTTGTGCTGTATAAACCTAAGAAAACGAAATATTAAAGAATAAATAACACAGCAAAAAATGTCAATTTAGAAGATTGCATTTTTTATTCGCCAAAAAACCTCATCAATCTCGACCAACCGTCCAACAATTTTTACATCCTCGAAAAACGAACGAGCTTCTGCTCAAAATTTATCATAAGAAACTTTTCGCCTTTTTTTCAATCAGACGAACAAATTGTTTCCAAGATAACCTCAAATCCCGTCAAATTTAGTCCGCCCCACGCAAACAAAACACCAAGTGAAAAAAAACGAAGATTTCATAAAAACCGCTCCGTTAAACCGTATTGGAGATTCGCGTATCACATAAATACGAATACGAATACTGCACGTTCCAGATAGTGTTATTATTATTATTGTTACCGTTATAGATTCGATGTGGAGGCCCGCCCGAATCACGGAAAAATATATTAAGCTACTTTACATTGGATTCCGATCATTTCCGGGCGCGTTCCGACTTTTGTGCACCCGTCTCTCTGATAAGTTGGTGTAATGCAGATAAAACAACTGACAGTATTGTTTATATTGAGCAATAGTAATATATACAAAAAAAAAAATCAAATAAAGACAGAAGACTTGTTGCGTACTGTAATTTAACGTGGAATATTGCCATCGGGGAAACGTAAAAAAAAATCAGTCCTATCGTGGTTGTTTGTAAAGCTGTGTTCTCAACTTTGGGTTTGCGTTTTGTAAATAGGGCAGTATGTATTGTAAATCAACGTAAAAAAAAACTGTTATAGCTTACAATTGGTCATGACTGTAAAATGTCAATTATTTTAACAAACGTCTGGCTAGAAACTAATAATGTTATCCGTTAGGACCTAAGATAGGCGACGTCCTCCTATGGCTGTTAACCACGCTGATGCCAAGGGAGTCGTCTAAACAAGTCAACTGCGTATCGTTCGCCGAGAGGTCCCCGGACAGCTCCAGGGACCCGCTGTTCGAATTTCTCAATTTGCATACGTTTTGCTCAACGTGAGGATTGCACTGGTGATAGTTCGGGTTCGACTTTTTCGAGTTCTCAAACAATCTGTAGAGGTCGTAGAATTTCGAGGACTTCACGTTCGAGTTCGAGTCCTCCTCGAAGTCGAGTTTTTCGGGACGCTTGGATTTTTTCGATCCCGCGTGGCCGTTGCATTCAAATGCGTAATACTGAAAAAATACAGACAAAAGTGTAATATTCCACTATACAATGATTTTCCTATTAAAAGTGTGGCAGTACTTCGCACAGGGTGGGCAAATTTCGATACTTTTGGAGTATTTCTCGTATTTCCCGAGCTAGTAGACAAAAGTAGTTCAAACGTCTCGGGCTAAATTTGAGAAAAAAAGCAATTAAATGGCTAACGAATCAAAATATCAAGATGCGTACTGTTAAATTTTTCTCCTAAATTAAGCTGGAAACACATTTTTTGCTTATTTCTTCTAAAAATACGAGAATATACAGAAAAAGTTATTTTTTGTTTTCTTGCATTCATTTATACCAATTTTTTACTTGCAATACTCACATTTTAAATTTGTTCATTTCACAAAAGAATTAATCGTGTCCGGGGATACTTACTTGTGGATTTTCAGTTATGTGGACATGACCATTAGATAAATGCCCATTCATGTATGGTTTTGCTGAACCGTTCACATTGCCATTTGGAAACTCCTCACCTCCCTGAAATACAAAAAATTTCATTGCAGAGAGAAATATCTCGATAAGTCCGATTATCATAGGTTTTCCCATTTCCGCTTCACGCCAGTTTGAACGAATATTCGAGTATTCTATGAATATTCGCTAGCGAACGTAGCATAAGAAAAATTTCTTATCACCTAAATTCGTTATAGAAATGAACATTTGCAAACAGAGCTAGACCTATTATTTAGCTCATTCCCGCTCCACACTTGTGTGGATGAATATTTGTGAACTCTAAGAATATTCAGTATCGAATATTCATGCTCAATGCTTAAAATTTTGAACAGTGACTGTGAACAGAGCTAGACTGACTAACAAGATTCTTCGATTCTCGCTCCACAATTAGTGGACGAATATTTGTGAATTCTACAAATACTCTTAATAAACATTCATATTCACTTAAAACCTAGAGTCATGATTATTTAGTACACTGATTATTGGATTCCTTTTATTTTCACCCCACACTTGTGTGGACGAATATTTGCAAACTCTACGAATATTTTCTAATGAATATTCATATCAGCTAAAGTAGTTTAAAATGCAAAAAAAATATTATTTATTTGCATTTCCACTCCACACTTGTGTGGACGAATATTTTGAATACTATGAATATTTGCGGACGAATATTCGTCATATTTACTTAGGCAGCCTGTAACTACGTAATCTCCTACAAACTGATCATTTGCAAACAGAACTATCGAAATTATTCGAGTATTATGAAAGGAAAACATTTGTATTCGGTCAAATAACTGTTTACTCACACACATATGCATTATATTGCCCGAATATTGGATATTCACACATGAACAAACCAACTAAAAATGGACAAGTAAGCCAAATACTTGCCAACGAAGGCAAATTTATTATCCAGAAATGGTCGAATATTGAGTATTCGTACAAGAACAGTGCAACTGTGAAGCCTACGTAAGGAAACACGATTCTCATTTGAATAATGAAATTTTCAAAAAATCAATGGCGAAATATAAAGTGATAGACTGAATTTAAAAAATTCTATCCACATCGACAATCAACCTACCTTAGTGTCCAAATGGCTCGGAGAAACCGGCGGTATGTGAGTGGAATGGGCCTCGGCGACGAGGTGCTGAGTCTCGTGGATATTCGCCGCGTAGGGATCTTCCAGTCTGACCTGCACAGCACCAACATGGGAGGTGTAATGTGCGACGGCGGGATAATAGTTGTTTGACGCCGCCATTCGAACCCGAGCCAAAGCGCGACGTTTCAAGCAACGTCTTCTGACCAAAATACAGGTAATACAACAAGCAATGCACATTAACGCCATTATCACTCCAACAATGACACCTGGATATAAACACAAACAAGTAAGCGGTTTGTAACAAGATCACAGAACGTTCGGGGAGGGCCGTTATCACCTAGATTATAAAACCTGGACGGTTCGTGTGCGATGTCGCTTTACTACACCATTAGTTATAGGTTATGGCTTCCACCTAACCTCAAATTTATGAAATTGGTTCAAATTAATGAAAAATAAGAGATATTAGTTTCCGATTAAAGACTAACAACCACTTGTAGCGACATCACTACCTGATAACGCGTCAGTTGTGAGGGTTTATATTGTAGGTGATAATGGATGGACAATTTGTTGACAAAAGCGCGTTTTCTTTGAATACTGAAAACCATGAACAAAGATTTTCACAAATTAGTTATATATTACCCGTGATATTTTACAATTTCAAAAGAAATATATTTGAATTTCCAAATATTTTCAACATAATAGCCGCAATCGAATATTAAAATGAATAAATAACGGTGCTATACCTACCGACTTTTTTGTGATAATCGATATCGTCCTGCGATTCGGGCGCCTGTTCCTCCATGTCGCTGCCGAGATTAGTCGTGACGACTATAGGAACGGTGGGCTTCCCGATACCAACGTCCGAGGTGGCCCTGACTAAAACCATGTACCGATTCTCAGAAGTTAAATTTCCCAGGAAAGTGGAAACCATATCTTGCTCGCCCAACCAGCAGGCGGTAGATTTTCTTTGGTAAGAGGGAACTGTCACGTCCGCCCATTCCTCCAAGGGCCGGTCCCTGTCGGGGGTGTAGGATATAATGTACTTTTGCAATTTGCCGTTTTTGTGGGCCGGGGCCTGCCAGCGCAAGCAGACGGTGCTCTCGTTTATTACTTTGTACTTCAGGTCTAGGACTGCGGAAGGTACTGTGAAAGACGAGTGTTTTTTATAAATAAATGTGAAAAATGTATCGACAGTATATTTTGAATGGTTTAAAATGGTTTGAGAAATTAAAAAAATTATATTTACCGTCCGCGGGTGTTTGGACTTCTATCGATTTGGAGAAAGACCCAGATATTCCTTCCAAATTGTGGGTTCGAACTTTGAATTCGTAAGTGGTGTTCGGTTTCAACTTGGAAACTACCAATTTGTTTGAATAACTGCAAAACGAATAAAAAAAATACACATTCTAGATGAGGTATAACGAAATAATTATTGTACAGCAAATGGGATTAGAATACTGACATTTTAAGAGATAAAAAAATAAATTCCGATTCTACGCCACATCATCGCTCACATAAGTAATGAGCATCAGCTTCTTGCACCTTCAGAACTGTGTAAAAAAACAATTTGTTCTTGACTAAAGAAACTTTTTTGTTCTCAACAACAACAATTCAATATTTAAATTTGGGTTTGTTTTGTTCAACAAAATTACTGGAATATACATTCGGATAAACTAATTGTGGTTACCTCTTTAACAACTTGCCGTCTTCGCATTTTTTCTCTTCTTTAACCAACACGTAGCAAACCATGTAGAATTTTTTCTGGCTTACGTCCAACCAACTCAACTTAATAGACGTGGGTGATTGCGGTGTGCCTTCTAACTGTCCCGGCGGTACCGGAACCGTATCTGTACTATCGGTGGTGTTCTCCGTTTCTTCGCTAGCTACATATACATTGTCTATCTTCGAGTGAGTATATGGTGTCCAAGGGTCTAAGTCCTTGATGTATGAGGTAGATGTGACTCGAAATTCATAGTTTGTACCAGGTAAAAGTCCTAAAAATATTCAAAATCGTAAGATTTACGATGTTTCATATCGATTTTTGAAACTGGCACTAAAACGGTACTTTAGGGACTCACCAGTAATGACATGTTTGCGTTTTAAGGTACGTTCGACATTGATCGAGGAGTGTGCCTCGCGCTTCCATTGTACTTTGTAAAAACCTTTAGCTCCGTCACAAGACACGTCCGTACTAATTTCCGACCACTTCAACGATACCGAGTCTGCGTTAACGGGGGTTATATCTAGATTGCGGTTGCCTTTGACACCTAAAAGATGAATACACCTGTAACACCTACAACTCTAACGGAAATCTGGAAGTTTTTACCCGTCGCGCACATGACTTTCTCGGAGCGTTCACTGGCGGCTTTGGAGTACGTACGAATATAAAAGGTATAATTTGTACTGCTATCGAGACCCCCTGCTTGGAAATGGGTCATGTTTGTAACATATTCAGGTCCTATAACTTCCTTCTTTTCTAATCCTTGTGCTAGAAATATAACTGACATCACGACAAGGGACACATAAAAAATGCTTGTCTATATGAAACTTAAATGAACTTTAAGATGAGCTGTGATCTAAAATTGGTCATTTCTACTGCGGTTGTCGAACGTCATGACAAGTTGCAATTTTGTGTAGAAAAATTGAAAGAGCGAACAAACTTCAATCTGACAAAACTAAACATAAAGTTTGTTTTCCGAATTTTTAGTTGCTTGGAAAAGAATATGATAGCATTTGCCTTGATTGTAGTAACAATAAACAAAAGACTGTTCACCTAACCTATCTGTCAAATGTCATTTTACTCAGTTCAAAGTTTGACATTTGTAATATGTTTTTTGGTATTTTGTGTATATATTCGACGACCAGAGTTATTAATTTTTTTCAAAAATATCTCGATTTCCAGTAATAGTTATCTAAGTATAAATATACATAAACGAGGACTTAGCAGATAAACAAGTGACAAAAGAACGGCTTACCTCTGTAAAAGGAATGCACGCTGTAAGCCTGGACTGAAACATTCCCTGGTGGTTTCCAATTCAAACAGATACTTGTAGCGTCGTAGGAGCGACATTGTACGTTTTCAGGTGGCCTAGGACTAAGAGAAACGTTTATCTCTATCTGCGCCGCGGTCCATATCTTACCAGCCGAGTTCACAGCTATGCACTGGTAAATACCTGAGGAACGACACCGTTAGCTTTTATTCCGGAGCAAAGATCAATGTTCTAACCTGAATCGCTGTTGAACGTATGACTGAAAACCAAACCCGTCGGCTGTTTCTTAATCCTGGTATCGTGGGTAAGCGGTCGACCGTCTTTCAACCAGTATATCTTCGGATCAGGTACGCCGAAAGCCTGACAGTCTAATCTAACGGTTTGCGCTGCAGGATAGGACTTAGATATAGGGGTAACGTTAAACTGCGGTTTCTGGTGAACTTCCACCCTATAGATTCTCGTGATACGATCCACGGTATTGTAGGCCATACAAGTGTAATTGTCTGACACGAGAGCCTTGGAGGTATTTATCGGCAGATCGGTCCTGTTACTTACTACTACTCTGTGGCCTTAAAGAATATAAAAGTCGTCAAGTGCTTACAGATGGTATCGGTACTTACTATTAAGCCATTGTACTGTCGGTATAGGCCAGCCCATCACAGCACAATATAAATTTAGGTTTTCACCAACGTAAACGGTATTATTGGGTGAAATGTCAAGAGGTAGAAAAGTCGGTGCCGTCAACTGCCTCAATGCTGGGGACACTGTCAGTAGAGCTGTTCTGCTGTACTTAGTAACATTAAGTATATTATTTGTTGCTTTACATCTAAAAAATGTTTTAAAAAAGTTGGAATAAATTCATGGGATAATAAAACAGACAATTAACCACGTCATCTAAAAACACTCACCTATAAGATCCTGCATCAGAAAACTGAGTTTTTGAAATTAACAAAGCCCCGTTGGGCAGAGGAACATATCTAAAAACAAATGATATCTTTACTTATAAGGGCAAAAAAACAATAAATATTTAGTTATTTATTATTTAAACGTATGGATGTAATTATCATATTATATACCTTGTGTGCTGAGGTAGAGGTTGATTATTGAATTCCCACTGAATTTCAGCAGGAGGTACTGAATGTATGCTGCATTGAAGAACGCCCGGTTGAGATTCCGGGACAGAAAGGTTGTTCGGGTTCTTGGTGAAATTGCGATCCATTGCTACAATAAACGTATTTGATTTTTACACGAGATCGTAACATCTGAAAGTCTGCGAGAGTGTTTTTTAAGTCCATGTCATAATTTGGGTAATTTTAGACTAAAAAGCCTTTTTCAGATCGAGGATCTAAAGTAAACCTAAACTAATCAGTTTACAGAAAATTGTATAGAATTTTATTTTCATGTAAAACAAATAGTATTGGATAAAAGTTTATTTTAAACTAAGAAAATGATGTTTCTTCGAATAATGTAAAAACAGTTAGAACTAGTGGCTTCCGCCTCTGGCTTTTTGGTTTAAAATTGACCCAAGAAGAACCTTTCTCAAGTTTTGACAGAAATTTAGAAAATAGCCTGTATATTCAGTGTGAATTAATTTGTTAATAAATTATTTTCCGCATTACTGCAATATTTTCAAAACTAAATTAAGTTTTGTACCTGTAAAACGACGAAAAAAATTTTCAGGCGAGCAAATTCATAAAAATGTTTTTAGTTATTGGTTACTTGATTCACTTTCATGCAAAAGTACATTCAAAATTAAATTTTCTTGTAAACCAATTTTTGTATTGCGTATGACGACTAACATTTTTGGACAAGTTTGAATTGACTTACATGCAACCCTCAACTTTGCCACCCCTGAAAGTAAGGCGCCCACTCTATTCCTAACGAGGCATTGGTATTCTCCAGTCACCCCATTGGCTCTTTTCCCTGAGAGAATTTTCGGTACGTAGAGGGAGCCATCTTCCTGCTGGCTCCATCTAGTGTCATTCGAGGGTACTGGAGAACTATTATGCAACCAAGTTACCTTGAAGAGAAAATGTATTCGTTTTGTTTCCATGGATGTGACTTTAGAGCTAAGGAAATTGAAGCGATACCAATTTATACCAACACGCTTACCTCTAAGCCCTTTGAGGAGGATCTTGCGTCACACCTTAGTGTCGTACCTTGTCCCTTTAAAACTATTACATCCTTAGGATCGATTAGGTTGATGGAGAGAGTCGTTTCTGGATAATCTAAAGCCCGCACATATACTAAAAAAAAAAGAAACGCCACATAAGAATTTATCAGTTTATAAATGCATATAAGACAAAGATTTAATGAGTTTCGCCTTTTTGCTAATTTTGTTCGTACGGTTTTTATTTTGTGGGATCGTGAACTAAAATAATTAAAGAAAGCAAACCAAAAGCCACAAATAGGCATGTAGACCTGATTTACCATTTGATACCTATATTTTCATGTCCATAGAAAAAAAATGTAATAAACCTTTGCGCCAAAAAGTGTGGCAGAAATACCAGTCCAGGGAACCAACCGATTAAAGTGAAGCTTGGACTGTAAGTAGAAAATAGCTAAAGAAACAAAAGTTATATAATGCCGATAGTGCTTTTGCCCAGAGGATGAAAAATAAAATATTGAAAATAACCCCAGGAATTGATAAAGAAATCAATTTTAAGCAAAAAGTATCTTATCATCATTTTTCGATAAGACAATATTTTCCGAGTTATTTGGTGATTGAATATGTACATTTTTTATTAAAAAAAAGACGTTTTTTCAGTAGTTTTTCTGGAATAACTCGGAAAATAGACATTCTATGAAAAAAAAAACACGAAGAAAATGGAGCTTATAGAAAAATAAAAAGATGAGTTTTTTTTCATTTATGTAGGTGCAATAGGTTCTGAGATACGGCTGGTTGAATATAATTTCATGTCCGCCAAAAACTAAATTCGAAGCATTTAACTAAAAAAAAAATTCAAGAAAAATACACAGAACATTTTTTAAAGTACCTACTTAAAAAAATCTTTAAAATGAACTTTAAGTCATTAGCATAAAAATTCGCTGTTAATTCGCTTTTTCGGAAAAAAAATCAGTACAAAAATTGATGAATTTTTCACAAGATTTAAAATTAAAGGTACAATTCTACAATTTATATTTTTATGTGCTAACAATATATTATAAAAGTTTAAACGGTTTAGAATGCATATTTTTGAAAATAACTAAAAATAAAAAAGATAAGAAAAATATTCAAGAGTACAAAGGTTTAGATTTTTTTTCCGCTGACAGACTTCTAGGGTAAGTAATACCTGAAAAATTAAGACGAAAAGTCTTAATAAACATAGGGTCGCAAATGCCTCCTTTAACGAGATACAGGGCGTTAAAGTTTATGTAAAATTAAAGCGTAAAAATGATAAAAAGGAGCTTATAATCTAGTTTACTTAACTCACTTGTACACAATGACATTAGTGACAGGCGATGTTTAATTTTATTTTGAATAGCACAAGCCTACTATGTGAAACTAAAATGAATGAAAATAAAATTGGATTTACAAATTTTCTACAAAGGTGTTTCTCTTAAAAATGGTTGCTTTAATCCAAATTTTGCAAGAGACCAATTCGATAGACAATTGAACACTTTACACGAAAATAGTG